GGAGCAAGATCATTAATACTGTTGTAGCTAAAAAAATAAATAAATAAAAAAAGATAATAATAATACTGTTGTAGCTGATCCAGCTGCTTTTATATTATTTAAATCTTGAATATTTGTAAAGTAAGATGCTTAAAATAGATCTCAAGGGTTGACACTTGAAACAGGAATTATTGCTGCTTAGGATTGCACAAGGAAAATTGTTGAAATTTACAGTGTGTTTGAACATGTTTTTTAAAGGTAAATCATTCTTAGTGACTGATAATTGCTTATCTCCTTGTTTTAATTACTCATACATAAAAGACCACAGAAAGCAAAGATGGCTGTTGCTGGCAAGCATTTCCCATTTTGAAATTAATTAAATGACACCCTTGAGCCCTAGAAATGGCAATTGTCCTGTCATCCCAGACAATGGATATTCTTATCTCTAGCTTATTCAGAAGCATCTTGGTGTAGTGGTAATTAAACTTTAGTCAAATGTCCAGTCAGAGCCGTCTCCCCCCCCCCCCCCCCCCCAGAGCTGTCTTAATAAAAGCACTAACATAGCATCATGTCTAGACTTAATTACTGATGGTTCTTTGACTTATTCCTGAAAACATTTTGATAACTAATGGACTTAAGTCTTAAATTGAAAAAAATTCCTTTCTAAAATAAAAATAAATTAATTATAGAGGAAGAAAGAGAGAGGAAGGGAGAGGGAGAGAGAGACACACACATCGATGTGAGAGAGAAATATTGATCAACTGTCTCCTGTACTTCCCTACTAAGGATTGTGCCCACAATCAGCCCATGTGCCCTGACTGGGAAGCAAACCAGTGACTTCTTGGTCCCAGGAACAATGCTCAGCCAACTGAGCCACACAAGCTTGGGCTTAAGTTTACTTTTTATTTATTTATTTATATATTTTTTTAATTGATTTTTTTTTACAGAGAGGAAGGGAGAGAGATAGTTAGAAACATTGATGAGAGTCATCGATCAGCTGCTGGGGATGTGCCCGCAACCAAGGTACATGCCCTTGACCGGAATCGAACAGGGGACCCTTCAGTCCACAGGCCGATGCTCTGAGCCAAACAGGTTTCAGCTTGTGCTTAAGTTTAAATTTTTTTTATTGTAATAACCAAAATGGAGAAATTACAAAGTATTATTCTATTTAATAAAAGATATGCAAATTGACCTCACGCCCTTGTACAAGATGGCTGCCCCCATGTGGTCAAAGATGGCCAGCAGAGGAGGGTAGTTGTGGGCAACCAGGTCTTCAGGGGAGGGCAGTATGGGGTGACCAGACCAGCAGGGGAGGGCATTTAGGGGCTACCAGGCCAGCAGGGGAGTGCTTTTGGGGGCAATTGTGCTGGCAGGGGAGCAGTAAGGTGTCGATCAGACTGGCAGGGGAGTGGTTAGGGGATGATCAGGCTGACAGGCAGGCAAGCGGTTGGGAGCCAGCAGTCCCGGATTGTGAGAGGGATCCCAGATTGGAGTGGGTCTCACTAAATTTGTTGGCCTTTTCTAGAAAATTCTTGAAAAACCTTATAACCATTGTTTTGAACTCTATATCCAGTAGTTTGCTTTCCTCCATTTCTTTCATTTGTGATTTGTTTCTTTGTCTCTGCATTTTGGCTGCTTCCCTGAGTTGATAGAGTGGCTTTGTGTGGTAGGTCTCCATTAGGCCCAGTGGCTCAGCTTCCCCAGTTACCTGAGTTGGACCCTTTTGGTGCACCCCTTTGTGGGCTATGTCCACAGTTTTGTTGTAGTTAAGCCTTGATTGTTGTTGGTATCACTGGGAGGAATTGATCTCCAGGCCAATTAGCTGTGCGGATCAGCTGTGTCAATGCTGGGAGGACTTCTGTGCTGGAGACAACCTTATGAGACAAGACTTACAAAAGCCTCTGTTCTCAGCTGGGATGGGGCGGAGTTTTGGGGCGGAGCAGACAGCATTGGTTTCCTTTCAGCCCTACCCTAATAGGCCCCTGGGCTTTAGTGTCCCGCGGTAATTGCTGCACACACCACTTGAGAGAAAGCCGCCCTCGAGTTTTGCCCACTGCCAGACAGTCCAGTTTCTCCCTGAATGAGTCTGGGTCCCCAGAGCCTTGTCTGGAACTGGAGTTCAGCACAGTTGGGAACTTTTGTCTGCCTCCCGCTTGAGAAAGCCAGCTGAGTACTCGGCTGCCTGCCCTCTCCGTGGGAATGTCTCAGTACCTCTGCCTTCTGTAGCTCCTCTAAGTCTGTGTGCTTTTCTCTTCCCTTCTAGTTGTAGAATTTCCACTCAGCCAGCTTTCCTGGATGATGTCTATTTTATCTTTTAGTTGTAGTTTTGAAATTGTTGTGCGAGGCAGCAGTTTAGGTGTTTACTTATGCCACTATCTAAGTTTCTCTCCCAATATCTCTTAAGTATTTCTTTGTTTCTCTTTCTGAATTATGCCCTGTCCTGAGTTAACAGTCTTATGTTTCAATAAAATGGAGAAAGGTTTGCCTCTTTCCAGTTGATTTGGACAAGGGAAAAGTTTGGGGGTTAATGAATTGCATCTCTTAACTTAGGTTAGTTTGGAAAATAGATCAAGAAAATGATTTATCTGTACCATAGTTTTTCTTGTTTGTTTGTTTTAAATTAAATTACAGTTTATATTCAATATTATTTTTTAAAATATATTTTATTGATTTTTTTCAGAGAGGAAAAGAGAGGGATAAAAAGCTAGAAACATCTATGAGAGAGAGTCATCGATCAGCTGCCTCTTGCACACCCCCTGCTGGGGATGTGACTGCAACCAAGGTACATGTTCTTGACTAGAATCGAACCTGGGACCTTTCAGTCTACACGCAGACGCTCTATCCACTGAGCCAAACTGGTTTCAGCTATTTTTTACTTTTGATTGCAGTTTTGTTTGTTTTTTGTTTTATTTTTTGTTTGTTTGATTGATTTTTAGATATATTTTTATTGATTTCAAAGAGGAAGGGAGAGGGAGAAAGAGATAGAGACATCAATGATGAGACTCTTGATCAGCTGCCTCTTTCATGCCCCACACTGGGGATTGAGCCTGCAACATGGTATATGCCTTGACTGGGAATCGAATGGTGACCACCTGTTTCATAGGTTGATCCTCAACCATGCCGGCCGGGCTGGGTTTCAGGTTTCACAAGTTTGAAAAACACTGGCCTAGAGCTTTGTAATTATCTATTTTAATTTATTGAGAACAAAAATTAGTGACTTCACTTTTTATCTTTAAAAGCAAATAACACCAAAAGACATAATAGAATGTATGTATGCTTTATATTTTCTACCATTCTGAAAAGGATACAAACTTTCCTGAGGGTATAGCTAGCTCTTCCCTCTCTTCATTGTGTCAAAACTTATCCTAATAAAATAGTAATATGCAAATTGACTATCACTCTAACACAAGATGGCTGCCCCAATGTGGTCAAAGATGCTGCCCCCATATGGACACAATTTGGCCGCCACAAGATGGCCTGCAGGGAAGGGCAGTTGGGGAAATCAGGTCAGCAGGGGAGGGCAGTTGTTGACCAGAGCAGTTGGGGGCAACCAGGCTGGCAGGGGAGCAGTTAGGCGTTGATCAGGCTAGTAGAGGAGTAGTTAGGGGTCATCAGGTTGGCAGGCAGGCAAACAGTTGGGAGCCAGAAGTCCTGGATTATGAGGGGGGCAGTCAGACATCCCTTGAAGGGATCCAGATTGGAGAGGGTGCAGGCTGAGCTTAGGGACACACACCTTGTCCCTCTCCCCATGTACAAATTTTGCGCACCGGGCCTCTAGTAATGTATACTAGGTAGGTACTATTCCCTGCTGAATATTCTGCACAATTTTCTGTTCATTTTAGGAAGTTTTCCCTCTTACATTTTGTTTGATTTCTAGTTTGGAATACCTTGAAGTCTTATTTTTAATCAGTTCTATTTGGTTGCTTCCATAGTAGTTTAACTCAGGGAATGAATAAGAGATTTGTTGGACATATTTCTGTAACAGTATATATCTTTATCTCATTCTTTTAATGAATGTCCATTGCATAAGGTTATAATTTATTTAGTGCCTCAATGGTGTACATTTTGATTATTTCCAGTTTTTTCCTGTTACACAAAACACTGTTGTCATATATTTGTATACCATAGGATATTGCTGGTTCAAAGTGGAATTACTTGGATGGTGTGCATTTAAAATTTTAATATTGCCAAGTTGGCCTTCAAAAAGGTTGTTCTAGCCAAAACCGGTTTGGCTAGTGGTAGAGAGCATCGGTCTGTGGACTGAAAGGTCCCAGGTTTGATTCCCGTCAGGGGCATGTGCATTGGTTGTGGGCACGTCCCCAGTAGGGGGTGTGCAAGAGACAGCTGATCGATGTTTCTCTCTCATCGGCGTTTCTAGCTCCCTATCTCTCTCCCTTCCTTTCTGTAAAAAATCAATAAAAATATATTTAAAAAAAAATTTTTTTTTAAAAAAAGGTGGTTCTATGTGTCACTACCTATATATAAAAATGCCTATTTCCCCATTCCTTTGCTGATGCTATGCATTACTAGAGTTTTAACTTCTTGTAGTCTGGTGAAATTTTACCAAAGTCCAGTATAGATTTGCATTTTAAAAATTGCATGAGATTGACTATGCTTTCATAAATGTAATTGGTTCTTTGTATTTTTTTGTTTGTTTGTTAATCCTCACCCAAGGATATTTTTTCCATTGATTTTTAGAGTGGAAAGAGGAAGGGAGGATGGTAGGGAGAAAGAAATGTTGATTGGTTGCTTCCCACACATATCCCGGCCAGGGCCAGGAATCAAACATGAGACCTTCTGGTGTGAGGGCCAATGCTCTAACCATTTAGCAATGCCAACCAAGGTGGCTCTTTGTATTTTCAGTGACAATTCTTGAGGTTTCAAGTATGGGTGTTATCAGTGAATGTGACTTCAAAGCTTTGAAGAAATGGAGCTATAAAAAATAAAGTCACTGAGATGATTGCAACTGTGATGATCTCCCATATTTCCCACTTTGACCTTTTCTTTATTTTTACTTTCAGGTGATCATGGAGCTCAGCTTGGCCTCCATGGGGCTGGTGGTGATGGAATACATGATGATACAGCAGGAGGAGAGGAAGGAGAGAATAGCCCAGATCCCCAACCACAAGCTGGTCGGAGGACCCGGCGGGAAGCATGCACCTGCCCCTACTGTAAAGACAGTGAAGGAAGGTAAGTTGACTAAGCCAGTGTCTTAAGAGTATTTAAAGGATTTGGAGGTAAGAAGAGGTTTATTTATTTATTTTAACATTTAAGACTTGGCAATGTTGCAAAGGGATGAGAGATAACAAAATACATTGCATTGGTCATATTACAGGATCTTGGTTCCAGCTCTGATCCTTTTATTGACTTTTAAGACCTTGGGCCTTAATAGGTGCCTGCTTTCTCTTAGAGATAAGGAAATCAAATGGAGCCAGCTGGTCTAATGATTGTTACCATATGTCTACCAGTATATTGAGATGGTTTTAACAAGGTTGCTTTGTGTTGAGTCCGGTTTGGTTCAATGGATAGAGTGTCGGCTTGGGGACTGTGGGGACCCGGGTTCGATTCCAGTCAAGGGCATATATCTTGGTTGTGGGCATATCCCCAGTAGGGGGTGTGCAAGAGGCAGCTGATCAATGACTCTCTCTCATCGATGTTTCTGGCTCTCTATCTCTCTCCCTTCCTCTCTGTACAAAATCAATAAAATATATTTAAAAAAACAAAAACAAGGTTGCTTTGTAAAACAGCCTTGCAAAGAAATGAAAAAGCTACACTAATGTATTTTTACAATGGCTTGTGAGAATAAGAGTTTTCTAGAGTCTTATTTTCCTTCAAAATAAACAAAAATGCTTAGTTCAGATAGAAAACTTTTAGAAATATATATATATATTATTGATTTTTTTACAGAGAGGAAGGGAGAGAGATGGTTAGAAATATCAATCAGCTGCTTCTTGCACACCCCTTACTCAGTCCGCAGGCTGATGCTCTATCCGCTGAGCCAAACCGGTTTCGGCCAGATAGAAAATTCTTCAATCAGGGACCCTAACATGTCCTGCAAAACAAAGTTCTGACAATTTTCTCATAGTATTATCTCTGGAGAGTTTCAAGTTCTATTTTTTCTTTTAAATCACTTTTTTAAAAAAATAAATGTTTTATTGATTTTAGAGTGAGAGGAAGAGAGGAGAAAGGAGAGAAAAGACAGAAAGAGAGAGAGAGAGGAAGAGAGAGAGAGAGAAACAGACAGGGAGAGAGAGAGAAACAGAGAAACATCCATAAGAGAAACATGGTTCCGATGCCTTTGCTCACGCCCAGGCTGCAGGCTTCATTCTCACCCTGGGTGTGAGCTCTGACCAGGAATCAAATGAAACTGGTGATCTTTTGGTTCATGAGATGACACTCAACCAACTGAGCCACTCCATCTGGGAAAGTCTCTGCTTTTGAGAGAATAGGAAATTACACAGTTGATTAAATGCCTTTGAAAAAGAAAATCTGTTAAAGTTCTGTCCCATCCTAGCTAGTTTGCTCAGTGGTTAAGAGTGTCAGCCTGTGGACGTAAGGGTCATGGGTTCAATTTCAATCAAGGGCATGTATCTCAGTTGCAGGCTCTCAATCCCCAGCTTTGGTCAGGATGCGTGCAGGAGGCAACTAATCGATGTTTCTCTCTGTGTGTCTCTCCCCCCACCCCCCCATCTCTAAAAAGTCATTGATGAAAAAAATATCCTTGGGAGAGGATTAACAAAAAAACAAAAAAAACAAAAAACAATGCTGAAACCAGTTTGGCTCAGTGGATAGATCAACAGCCTGGGGAGTGAAAGTTCCAGGTTCTATTCTAGTCAAGGGCATGTGCACACCAGTAGGGGGTGTGCTGGAGGCAGCTGGTCGATGTTTCTAGCTCTCTATCCCTCTCCCTCTCTGTAAAAAATCAATAAAATACAAAATAAAATCAAAATCAAAAGTTTTATCCCAATAAAAATAAGCACAAAAGTAAAAAATGTACCAAAACAAAATTTGAATTATTTGTAGGTACATGCCCTTGATTGAAATTGAACCCATGCTTGTATTGAGATTTAACTTCTTGCAAAAAAAAAAAAAAAAAAAAAGCCCCACAGACTTCACAAATCACTGTGAGAATGATTATGTCTTCAAACATCAAAATTGAATTAAGGAACAGGAAAGCAGAAAAGAGCAAAGGTCTGGTAGAGAGGAAACCTACAGCTTGAATTTTGGGTATTAAGAACCAGAATCAACTAAAGATTTATATTTTTATACTAAAGATAAAAAAAAAAAGTTCTAGTTAGTTTTAAATGGGTCAGGTAATTGCTGTTGACACTTTGTGTTATTTTCACTTTTATCTTTAGAATGACGACTACTTTGTATTCTCACTTACAGGGCCTCTGGGGATCCTGGCAAAAAGAAACAGCACATTTGCCACATTCAAGGCTGTGGCAAAGTATATGGCAAGACCTCGCACCTACGGGCACACTTGCGCTGGCACACTGGCGAGAGACCATTTATGTGTACCTGGTCATACTGTGGGAAACGCTTCACGCGTTCGGATGAGCTGCAGAGGCACAAACGCACACACACAGGTGAGTAGGAGCTTGGAGAAGAAAGAAATAGTAATAGACCAGAATGGAAAGGTACAAAATATACCTATGAAATAACTAAAAATACTGAGCAATTTACGATTGAAACTAAATGTGTGGATCATAAATGGAATTGGAGTTAATCTGGAAAACCTTTAAGAAGGAAGGAGCCCTGACCAGTTTGGCTCAGTGGATGGAGCATTGGCCTGTGGACTGAAAGGTCCCAGGTTTGATTCTGGTTGAGGCAATGCCTGGGTTGTGGGCTCAATCCCCACTAGGGGTCTGTAGGAGGTGGCTGATCGATGATTTTTTTCTCATCATTGATGTTTCTCTTTTTTCCTCACTGAAATCGATAAAAATATATTAATTAAAAAAAAAGGGAAGGAGCCGAAACCGGTTTGACTCAGTGGATAGAGTGTCGGCCTGCGGTCTGAAAGATCCCCAGGTTCGATTCTGGTCAAGGGCATGTACCTTGGTTGCGGGCACATTCCCAGTAGGGGGTGTGCAGGAGGCAGCTGATGGATGTTTCTCTCTCATTGATGTTTCTAACTCTCTCTCTCTCTTCCTCTCTGTAAAAAAATCAATAAAATACGTATTTTTTTTTTTTTAAAGGGAGGGAGGGGGAGAGAAGATGCCCGGCTGGTGTGGCTTAGAATACATGCCTGATGCTCCTTAATAACAATGAAATTACATTATGAATACATGGGAATGATAGCCCAGAACAACCTAGAATACATGCCTGGGTTGCCGTCTTTTTCTTTCTTTCCTTTTTTTTTTCTCACCGAGGATATTTTTTCCCCATTGCTTTCAAAGAGAGTGAGAGGGAGAGAGAGGGGAAAAAAACCACCAATGTTGAGAGAGACATATTGACTGACTGCATCTGGCATTCGCCCTGACTGGGGATGGGGAGGATTCCGAAACCCAGGTACATGCCCTTGACCAGGATTCAAACCGGTGACTCTTCTGTATAGGGGTTGATGCTCTAACCTAGGGGTGTCGAACTCAATCAGAGAAGGGGCCAAAATCTAAAATCCAGCCTAAATCGCGGGCCGAATGGTTTACTGAACAGTCATAAACTATCATTGTGATGGAAACGCAGCGGAGTGCAGTGATGACAGCGCGGTGTGGGCCACATTGCAAGGCCTGGCGGGACGGATTTGGCCTGCGGGCCTTGTGTTTGACACATGTGCTCTAACCACTGAGAAACAGGGCTGGGTTGCATTCTCGAATCCCTAGTGGAGAGCGTGTAATCTGTCTTTCTGTTTCTCTCATTGATGTTTCTATCTTCCTCTCTCTGAAATCAATAAAATACCACACATTTTAAAAATAATAAAATAAATTTTTAAAAAGAATGAAAGAATTAGTTGAGTGGGATTTTGGAGAATCCCATTACTCTTTTTAGTCTCAGTCTGCTATTCACTTTTGCTCTAGTTCTTCCTTCCTGAATACCAACCTTCCCTCTCTCTGTCCCTTCCTCCTCCTCCTCCTCCTCCTTTTTTTTTAAAATATATTTTATTGATTTTTTTTACAGAGAGGGATAGTTAGAAACATCGATGAGAGAGAATCGTTGATCAGCTGCCTCTTGCACACCCCCTACTGGTATGGCCAGGAACTGCCCTTGACCTGAATTGAACCCCGGGACCCTTCAGTCCGCAGGCTGACGACTCTCTATCCACTGAGCCAAACTGGTTTCGGCTCTTCATTCTTTTTTTGTTTTTCATCTATTCCTCTCCTCCTTGGTACCAGAAAGCCAAATTTCCTTTGAAAACAATCCCTCTGTCTCTATTTGTAGTTACCTGGTTTGGGCAGGATTGATCCTATTCCCACCTCCAGGAATGGGCCATGATTGGCTTAAACCAGTCATTGTATCCCTTCCCCACAAGATGTTTGGTTCAGGGGTGGGCAATTAAGCTTGTCCAGGAAAATTGAAACTTGGGACTTATGCTGGGCATTCAGGGCCACACACACTTTCTTCTTGTGTTTGTGGTGTGAAGAAGATATATGGCCAGGAACTGCTACTCCCCAACCCTTACCTATTTTCCTTCCTCCAAAAAGCAAAAGATACTCATCAGGTTTTTCTTTCTTTTTTCACCTTCTAAAATTGGCCTAATAGTCTGTCTAATAAAGTTTGAAAGCAGTTATTGGACAAGGTATCCTGTACATCCTGAGATGTTCATTTCTTATATTCTTTCTTTTTTTTCACTTAGGTGAGAAGAAATTTGCCTGCCCTGAGTGTCCCAAGCGCTTCATGAGGAGTGACCACCTGTCAAAGCATATCAAGACCCATCAGAATAAGAAGGGAGGCACAGGCGTAGCCCTGAGTGTGGGCACTTTGCCCCTGGACAGTGGGGCTGGTTCAGAAGGCAGTGGTGCTGCCACTTCTTCAGCCCTTATTACCACCAATATGGTAGCTATGGAGGCCATCTGTCCAGAGGGTATTGCTCGTCTTGCCAACAGTGGCATCAATGTCATGCAGGTGGCAGATCTTCAGTCCATTAATATCAGTGGCAATGGCTTCTGAGATCAGGCACCCAGGGCCAGAGACATATGGGCTATACCCATTAACCCTGGGATGCAAGGTAGCATGGGTCCAAGAGACATGTGGGAGAGAGAGCCATGAGGCATTAAAATGCATGGTGGTGGGAAGAATTGGGGAAGGGGATACAAGAGAAGAGATGGGGTCCTGGCACTCACCTATATCATCAGTACCTCCTTGAAGTGGGAAACAGTGAAAATTCCGTGGGTGCCACCCTTTGATGAGCATTTGTTTGACCCCAGTTTCTTATATTTCTTACCCCAACCTCCCTGTCCTGTGTTTCCCTTCTCAACTCCCTCATGATGGATTTCCCCCTTTCCTAAAGCCATCATGCCTTGATAAATATATATGATCATTGAAATACTTTTTAACAAAAAAACAGATTCTATATTATATATATAAATATATATAAAAGATATATAGAGATGCATTTGCAGGGGTTGGCTGGGAGGAGCAAAGAGACCATTCTGTGACCAAAATACCTTGGTCATTTTTTTTTTTTATATTGCCTTATTTCCTTATGGCTAAGCCTTGTGACACATTAAGCTTTTATAGATGTTGTCTTGGCTTTCCACGTAGATTAAGCATCCATATGCTCTGCTTTTAGTTTATATATACATAATGTTTTTCCTTAATTTTGTCTTTTTATTTGGGATCAGCTTCTTGCACTCCTTTCTAGGCTCAGTCCTTTCTGTCTCCCTTTCTCTCACCTGATCATTTCATGTTTTTGGTAGTAATTCCTGGATGAGGCACTTCTGTGAATCTTTTAAAGACATTAGTCCCAGCAGCAGAATAGAGAAACCTTGAAGCCCAGGATGATGCTTGAAGTAACCGTGGAGAGAGAGTGTTCAAAATACTACTGACGCAGGTACCCTCTTGGTGCTGAAGAGTCAAAGGCACCTCTCTATCAGCTGCTCTAAGCATCAAGAATCAAAAGTATTTCTATGTAATTGTACAAGAGACCCTTTGAGGGTTATAATTTGGAATTAGTTTGTATAAACTATCAAAAGATGGTCAGATAATAGGTGGGGGCTTTTAATAGGAAAATGATGTGCTCAGAAGTGGAAGTGACTCATAATAGTCCAGTTCAGAAGTTAGGGGAGTATTTGGACTTTGTACAGCTGTCTTCCAAGGTGGCTAAGCTTTGATTTCACATAAACTTCTGAGTTCACATTCTGAAAGGAAGTACATTTTCTCTTTTGAACATCCCCAGTAGATTTTTTTTCATTATGTTTTCAAGGAGCATCAGGCAATGAATCTGTTCCAGGTTTCCATTCTGCAGAACTCCAGAGCATGTACTAGTGGCAAGGCAGTAGTCCTTTGATCTTTTCCCTTAACTCTTCCTTGGGTGGTTCTAAGGGAAAAGGAAGCACATGATCATGGGAATGATAGCCCAGAACAAAAATAAATCTTGTCTTACCACTGTGGTTTATATTGTAGGAGAGATTGGGAGAAACTATCCTGCTTTCTTCATGGCCTGATTCCTGAAGAGACTGATCCAAAAATTATAGCGGCAGGGAACTCAGTGCATTTGGTACTGAGATTTAAATGCAACCAGAGTTGTCCTCAAGGCCCAGCCATTAAAACATCGTCTCTCTTGACCTTCTGGTATCTTGTCAGAGGGCTTTTCACTGTGAGGAAGTGTGGAAATGGCTGTGTGTATGTGTGTAATCTATTAGGTTGGGGATAGGTTTTCTGTTAGCCATTACTAAGAGACCTGCAATAAAAATTACCCTGATCTGATAGTGAAATGTTTGTGTATGACCATGTGTGAATGTGTGTTTGTGCCTGTATATATCTACACACAGATGAGAAATTATATTTAAAATTGTTGGAAAATAAATCAAATTCAGATCAAAATGCCTTTCAGGCCCATTACCTAGAAATCTATTTTAAAACCTGGGTATGTTCCTGAGGTCATTTCTTTGCTTATGCTAATAAATTAGTTACAATTATGAATGGGGGATATTCTACTGCACTTTTAAAAAAAGAAGAAACTATTTTTTGTGTTTGAAAGAGAAACCATCTATAGCAGAATCTTAGTTCCTTTCATAAATATTTTTACCTTGACTACAAATAGATGATGCTATGATTTCACTATATATTTTTATAAAATCTATCTGAATTAGGGTTTGGGTAAGTTGGTGTTAATGTTTAACCTGAAATACAATAACTGTTAATATTCTAAACAATAGTTCACTCCATTTGGTTCTTTTTCTGAAGACTTAATGCTGTTTTTAACACTCAGGAACCATTGCAAGGAACTTGCCCCAGATCAGATTTTGTTAATACTAAAGTAAAAGTTATCCATGGCCAACCACATGTCTTACCCTTTATTCCTTGAAAGGTAGACCTCAGAACCTGTTATTTGATGTCTATAATCATGTACATAGGCATCTTTTGGAGGAAAGGGGCAGGACAGCTCACTGGAGTTTGCAGTATTTTATTAGAGCATTTCAAGAAATGGAATCTTCCCCAGTAAGAAATTACTAGAGACAAACTAGCCTAATGAAGCTGAGAAATATAAGCTTTTAGAACATTATTTTAATAGTTCTCTCGGGGGAAGAACATTGGTTTACCCTCCCCCCTTTAGTTAGCATTACTGAGTGAATTTACACCCAGTTCTTTCCCGGTGCCCTAGTCTCACCAAGGAGCTCCAGATCCAGTATCTTGTTTGGCCCAACTGAAGCAGCTTTTGCTTTTGTCTCACAGCAGCAGCGAGCCACTCAGTCTTTTCCACAGGAAACTAGGAGCCTACATTCCTTGAGTCAGGAGCTTATTGCTGAAAATCCCTTCCCCTGAACTTTTGGCGAGCAGAAATAAATGTGACTGACAGGCATATTCTAAAAATTTTACATGAGTTCCTTTTTTATTTAACTTTTTTAAATGACCAAACTGTGCAGCGCAGGGCATGCCCGAAGGAGAGGTAGCGTGGTAGCACTCATTCCCTTGTCCTTTCAGGTTGCCCATTCACTTTGATCTGCTTATCATTTGACTGTCTCACTTGTTACCCAGAGCAGTACCAACCCATCTTCAGGGATCTCCCAGCAGGCACCATGTTTGTAGGTGCTATACAGAATGAAATTAAATGGTTATTTCTATGCCTGGTTCAGAATAAATAGAACCTTTTATCCCAGAAAGTATAGACTGCAGTGTGGGGTAAAGATTATGATTTGGGGAGGGTTAGAGACAAAAGCTGTAAATTACTATGGCTGATTGATTTATTTCTACTATATACATATATATATATTTTTTGCTTTTGTATATCCTATATAGGAAACAGCTTTGTATTTTTTTAACAAATCTGAGAAAGCACTATGAACTGCAGATGTTTGACTTTCAGAATATATTTTGTATTAATATCTTCACATTGTGTGAATACTGGAAGCTGCAGATCTTTGCTAGGACGCAATAAATTTATATACATTTTGAGGGGTTCTTCTGAGGGTATTAATCAAGCCCCTATTATGCTTTGGGGGAGCCCTGGTGCTACTTGCTTAAAGTTTTTATTCAATTGTAAGTACCCTGATGCCTTTTGGACCTTGGTATCAGATCAAACGAGTTTTGGAGATCTAGGTACCAAGGAAATGAGGATAGTCTAGCTGCCTCAAATGAGGTGCCCTTTGCATAGCTCTCCTTACCCCTGTGCAGAGCTGGGTAGGTTCTTGGAGTTGGGAGGGAGAAATGTGAAATCTTAGGTTCATCTCCCTTAGAAGAGAGCCAGTAACTTATGTTCAAGGATGAAAGGTGGTAGCAGTAGCTTTGGGGAAAGGGAGGAGGACATGGCACTTCTCCAACCCTGGGAAACTGCTTTTGAAAACTGCTGATAAAATATGGGCAGGTTGCTTTACTTTTGTTTGGGAGCCTGTGCTCTCTGTGCCTCTCTTGGCTCTCCTCCTGGGGTACAGACCTCTTCTAGGAGGATGAGCAGATCAGCTTTGAGGTTGACCTGTTTCTTTTCTTTGTCTGCCTTCCCTAAACACCAGCCCCCAGGAGGACATAAAGCAGCCTTAAGCTTAAAGTCCTACTCCCTCTCAGATTTGGCTCGCTAGCCTAGATGTGAAGGCTGGGAAAGGGGGGGGGGAAGGACCATCCCTGGATTCGTTCCTCCCCGAGGTGTTCTCCACTTTGACTTTCCAAACTCAAAAAGGTTTCCTCCACAAAGTTCGTTTGAGAGAAATAAGTATTTGTCCCATTTCCCCCTTTCCTCATCAACTCCAGCCTTTCCTTGTGTCTGCTACGGGAGAAAAGGCATGGTGATTGTCCCTCAACTCCTTCAGTTATCAGGGGGAAAAATGTGTAAGTGGGATTAAGCTGGGGCTGCAGGTAGTGACAACTTTCTCTCCTGGGGTGTGTTTTTCTCTGCCTCACCTTCAGAAATGATACTGTGCCTTCTCCACAGGGGAATGGGCTTTGACCAGTCCACTTTCCCAGCAATCGCTCTTGAACAGTGGGGACAAGGACAGGTCCTCATATTTCTGACCACCTGTTTCTCCCAGTGACATCCCATAGCTCTCATCTGAAATCCAGGGCTCAAAGACTTGGGGGAAATATGCTGAGATTGACCTGAGGAATCCCCTTCTATACACACCAATGGCAGCCGCCTGAGAGCTTGCTTTCTCTTCCTGAATCTGCCATCCTGGGGGACCCAGGGGAGGGGAGAAGTTGCTCCAGTCTCTGGTGCCTAAAACAAGTTTCAATACTGGTAATAACCAGTCTTCCTACCACTGTTGCCTTTTTAAACCTAATGAGTTCATGCTGTGTTGGTGATTGGTTCTAATTAGATTATCATCAGAGCTGTGTGGGGAAATAACTTTTAAATGCTCTTTCATCTTGTTCTCCCCTCCCCACCCTCGCAGTGCCCATTCTGTATGTATGATGCTAATCTCTTGTCTTTCAGTTTCTTCCTGCTCTTTTGTATCTTTCATGTGTCTCCTCCTACCTTTTGTCTCTGGGTGTTTTGGGGGCTTCCCCCCCCCCCCCTTTTTGTACAAAGATTAGTTTCAATGTAGTCTGTAGCTCCTTTGTAAGCCAATTAAAAGTTTTGTGTGTTTTTTTTAAATAAAAAGGCATGTCTCTGGTGTGTTGAGAGGGTTGGGGATGGGGAGTATATGGCCATAACTTTATATACTGAACCCAACAAAGGTTTCCAGCTACACCTTTGTGTTCCCATACATGCACAGTTGCCCTACACTTAACGTGTCACGAGCAGATCAATATGACATGACTTCATAGAAATGTGGAGGTCCAAGAGGAACAGGTAGCACCAACTCTTATTTAATAAACTTTATTTTGGAATACTTTTAAAAGAAGGTAGCAGAGATATACAAAGAGTTCCCATTGTTAACATTATCATGGAACATTGTCAAAACTAAGAAACTGATATTGATACATTACATTAGCTAAACCTCTAGATTTCACTAGTTTTTCCATTGATGTCCTCTTTCTGTTTCAGGACCCATTCCTGACACACAGGATTTAGTTGATATGTTCCCCTAGTCTCTAATCTGTCAGTTTGTTTTTCATAACCAGGACAGTCTTTGGGATTATTGCCCAAGTGTCCTGTAGAATATTCTCATTATTTGACTGAGCTTATGGGTTTTTTGAGAAAATACCATCCGGGTTCAATTCCCTTAACATCTTGTCAAGGAGTATGTGATAACCACAAGACAGTACTAATGATAACCTTCATCACTTGGTAGTGTTTGACAAGATTTATCTAGTTTCCCTATTTGTAGGCAAGTCAATAAGTCTATCCCACCTTTAATGGGAATTAAGCTTCCTCTACATATGTACTAGCTACATAGAGTTTTTGGGATTCTGTGAGGAAACTGTCTCCCCTATTATATGCACTCATTTTTTTATATGAAATATTAGGTAAATTTATAGTTTGTTGTAATCCAACTAGAGGCCCAGTGCATGAAATCATGCATGGGGGAGGAGGGTCCCTTAGCTTGTCTTGCACCCTCTCCAACCCGGGACCCCTCAGGGGATGTCCGACTGCTGGTTTAGGCCCAATAGGAACGGCAGTCGGGCATCCCTCTCGAAATCCAAACTGTTGGCTCCTAACTGCTCACCTGCCTGCCTGCCTGATCACCTCTAACCCCTCTGCCTGCTAGCCTGATTGCCTCTAACCACTCTCCCCTGCTGGCCTGATTGCTCCTAACTGCCTCTACCTTGGCCCCCACCACTGTGCTTGGAAGGAGGACTGAACTACCAGGTGTCTGGTCAACCCTGTCTGATTAGCATATTACCCTTTTATTATTATAGATACTATATTATTTTATTACTAAAATTATCCCAGCTTTGGCCATTGCCAGCTTTCAGGTTGGTTCATGTGTCCCTTGGATATGTCTACATCCTTTTTTTTTTTAGCCCTTTTTTGCTTTCTAATAAAATGCTTTAGTTTCATCTTGTTTTTTCCCTATCCCAGGCCTAGAATTAGTCATTTGTCCAAGGAGCCATGTTTCTTTAAAAAAAAATATCTATCTATATATATATATATATATATATATATATATATATATATATATATATATTTAATACATTTTTATTGATTTTACAGAGGAAGGGAGAGAGAGAGGAAAACAAACACATCAATGTGAGATCAGTTGCCTCCCATAGGCACCCTGACCAGGAATCACACCCACAACATGGGTATGTGCCCTAACCCGCAACCTTTAGTTGCTGCATGGGATGTCGCTCAACCAACTGAACCACACCAGCCAGGGCCTTGGTTCTTTTTATCATAGAATGTTTGAGAACTGTGGTCTAGCCTTAACATATTTTACATTCAGTTAATACCAGCCTGTTTCTAACATGATTAAATCTGGATTGTGAACCCATCTGAAACTGAAATTGACATTATTTTGACAGCCTTTCCAATTTTCCATCAGCCTACAGCTTCACTTCCATTCTTATGTAGGAATCCTTGATCACTTGTTTATACTATGACTACCAACAGTCTCAATTATCTTGTGCATTTGACACTATCTGCTTTGTCAATCACTTAGCCATGGGTAAACTCGGCCATATGATTTTCTTATGGAAATATAACAGCAATATAACATTTTAACATTTGACTTTATTGAGGAGGGGGGCCATGAGGGAGGTTGTTGTTTGTTGTTGTTTGGTTTTGCAGCCTTAAATGGGCCTTATAATTGTGGTGCCATCTATTCATTCCATAAACATTTATTGAGCCTTTACTATGAGCTTTACACTAAGTTAGGCTGAATATAAAAAATGAAATAAGACAGACCACCAAGTACTTTGTAGTCTGGTGAGTGAAACATGCTATTAATTGCAAGTTTCCCAAGCCTGACCTATTTTTCTGCAGATGATTTGCTTCCTATTTCATGGAGAAAACGGAAACATGAATTTCCTCAAACCTCTCTCCTATCCCTCCCTATAAACATTGATATTCACCAATTTCTTAGTAGAAAATATTTTTCCTTTGTAAGCTCAGCCCTGTCACCTGTGCTCATTTTGTTAGATTTTTTTCTTTGTTTTCAGTCTTGTCTGGGTTCTCTTGTGTCAGCCTATCAGCATATTAAAATCCCTTCCTTCCCTCCATTTTGTAAACCTCTACTTCCTCTTCAAGCTACTGATCTAGTTCTTTTCATTTCCAAAGTTATTGAAAATTTCCTCTTCTTTTATTCACCCCTCAGGCACTTAGGGGTGAATACCCATCATTTACCAAATTGTTTCTTTCAAACACCTCTACCTGGTTGCAGCTCCAGTGGTCTTTCATTTATTAGCCTCAGACCTCACTGCAGCTACATGCGTGCATCTTAGAGCTTTCTTCCCATGGCATGTGAAACTGATACTCTCCTGGTTCTCCATTAGCCTTTCTGACTATTTTTAGTCTCCTTCATAGGCATTTCTTCTGTCCCTTGAATGTTGGTGTTTCCCTGTTGTACCCTTTCTGTATTATACCTTTCACCCCCATAAGTAAGTTACATCCTCTCTCTCTCTCTCTCTCTCTCTCTCTCTCTCTCTCTCTCTCTCTCTCTCTCTCTCTCTCTCTCTCTCAATTTCAGAGAGGAAGTGAGAGATAGAAACATCAATGATGAGACTCATTGATCAGCTGCCACCTGCACACCCTCTACTGGGGATTGAGCCTGCAACCTGGGCCTGTGTCCTTGACCAGAATCAAACCAGGGACCCGAAGGCTGACATTCTATCCACTGAGCCAAACCTGCCAGGGCTACTCTTTAGTTATTAAATGGTTGGTGACTCCCAGATCTTAAGCCCTAAATTTTCTCTCAACCTGGCAGCCTGCTTACTGAACATACTCATCTGGATCTCAGAGATAACTCAAATTCAACATGTAAGAAAGGGAAATAACCCTTGTGTTCCCCACCTCATTTAATAGTATTACTACCCCTTGAGCCTTTATACTTAAGCTCCCAGGATCACCTTTTATCCCAACATTCATTTCATTACCAATCCTGTCCCATGCAGTGCATCTCATTCCCCCCACCTTTTTTTTTTTTTTTTTTTTTTTACTTTCCACTGTCCTGGTTCTTACCTTGGCTAGTCGTAGGTCTTGCAGCTGACCTTGCTTTTAGTCTCCCTGAGCCCCAATCATCTATCTTCCACATTGCTACCATACCCTCGCCTAAAATTCTTTGCTCTCTGGATAAGTCTAAGCTCCTTGAAACAGAATAGAAAAACCTTCCCAATCTGATCTCAATCTGTCTCTAGGGTGATTTTCTGCTTTATATCTCATATACCTTTCTCCTGCTCACTCCCTCTTCCCCCAATACACACACTTTATGTTCATACCTCTTTCTGTGTATTCTTGTTATTCCCTTTGCCTACAATCACCTTCCTTTTACTTATTTTCAGTGTATTTACTTTTGAGACAATTTAAAGATTCCTTTTTCTGTGAAACCTTCTGGGCACCTTTATTCCCTTGTCTTTTATGCTCTGAACAGAATTAGCTTATTTGATCTTTCTGCTTATTTAGAAGCTTATTTAATTTTTTTGTTTGTTTAAGATTTCTTAACTATTTATTTGTTCGTTTGTTTTATAGAGAAAGGAAAGGAGAGGGAGAGAGAGAGAGAAACATCAATAAGAGAGAAACATCTATCATGTGACCCTGGCCAGGAATCAAACCAGTGACCTCTTGGTTCATGGGTCCAAGCTCAAAGACTGAGCTGCACAAGCCTGGCTTGAAAATAAGGAGTCACATATCATTGCAGGCCCAGAACCTAATGAAATACCTTAAGACTGGCCCTTGCCAAAACCGATTTGGCTCAGTGGATAAAGCATCAGCCTGTGGACTGAAAGGTCCCAGGTTCGATTTCTTTCAAGGGCACATACCTTGGTTGTGAGCACATCTTTAGTGGGAGGTGTGCAGGAGGCAGCTGATAGATGTTTCTCTCTCATGGATGTTTCTAACTATCCCTCTCTCTTCTTCTCTGTAAAAAATAAAAAAAATTAAAAAAAAGCCCCACTAACCACATTCTATTTAAAAAAAAAAAAAAAAAAAAAAAAAAAAGATTGGCCCTAACTGGTTTTGCTCAGTGGATAGAGCATCAGCTTTCGGACTGAAGGGTCCCGGTTTGATTCCAGTCAAGGGCATGTGACTGGGTTGTGGGCACATCCCCAGTGGGGAGGGTGTAGGAGGCAGTTGGTCTTTCTCATCATGCTTCTATCTCCCTTCCTCCCTGAAGAAATCAATAAAATATAAAGGGGGGGGGGGGAGAGAAAGAAATACCTTAAGACTAGGACCTAATATATATTTTCTGAATTGAATGAATAAAGAACTCACTGTAACCTTGTAATCACTGGGATCAAAGGTCAATTACTGGATTTCTGCAGACTTTAATCAGGAGATTCTGATGGAGATCTCTGTCTATGTTTACCCAGGAAGCCTTTATTCCTATGCTAAGATCCTTTCTCAGGACTTTCCTAATCCCTTAGCTCTCAGATTTTTACTCCGTCTATCACCATCTCAACTCTAAACTCTGCCCAGAGCAGGTATATTTCCCATAAACCCCACTGGAATGTTTGAGACAAGTAGTTTTCCAAGGCTTTGGGTGAGGATACTCCATCTTCCTGCCTGATCTCTGCCTCACTCCCCTCCTGGCAGAGATATTCTCATGAGACACTCCAGAAACAAGAAGTTATTTGACCTTCAACTCCTCCCCGTCATCCCTCCTACCCAGGACTTATCTGATCTGGAAGCTGGTGAAGGAAGATAGCTGTAACTAAGTGCAGTTGAGTCATCTCACAGACAGGGTCCTGCAGAATCCCAAAAAGGGATGGGCAGCTGTCCATCTACCTCCAGCCCTCAGTACTCTAGCTTTGGCTTCACAACTACTGGAGCTTTTACTCTCCTTCCCTTCGGGTTCCCAAAGAAAGGCCCCAGAGTCAGAGAATCATCTCAGACCTTCATCTCTTGCCTAAGCCAGAAAGTGTTTCCAGACAGAAGACTAGCTAGAGAAAAAGGGAACTGATCCCCTCTCACTCTCATTCCTGTAGGAGCTGGAGCCAGCTACTCACACCTGTGAGAATGATTACTGCAATTTCTGAGCCTGTGGAGTTGGACTTCTGTCTTGCTGTTGCAGCACAAGCTATAGTTTTCTCCTTCCATTTCCATGCTGACACTCCCTCTACACACCCTGTGCTCTCCCTTCATATTTTTAGAGTCACTGCAGCTTAACACTAATAAATATAGGAGGTGGCCCTGGATGGGTAGTTCAGTTGTTCTGATACACCAAGGTCAGGACACAAAGAATCAGCCAATTATGCCCAGCTGGTATAGCTCAGTGGTTGGGCATTGACCCAGGATCCTGGAGGCCACCAATTTGATTCCTGTTCAGCCCACCGATTGTGGGCTCAATCCCCTGTGGGGGGAATGCAGGAGGCAACCCATTGATGATATTTCTCTCTCATTGAAGTTTCTATCTTTCTTTCTCCCTTCTTTTCTCTCTAAAATATCAATAAAGCAAGGATGTGGAGAAAAAGGAACCCTTGTACACTGCTGGTGGGAATGCAGTCTGGTACAGCCATTGATGAAAACAGTAAGGAGTTTCCTCAAAAAATTAAAAATGGAACTCCCATTTGACCCAGTAATCCCACTTCTAGGAATATATCCCAAGAACTCAGAAACACCAATCAGAAAGGGTATGTGCATTCCTATATTCACAGCAACATAACTTATAATAGCTAAGATTTGGAAACAGCCTAAATGTCCCTCAGCAGATGAGTGGATTAACAAACTGTGGTACATCTACACAATGGAATACTATGCTGCTGTGAAAAAGAAGAAACCCTTACCACCTGTAACAGCATGGATGGACATGGAGAACATTATGCTAAGGGAAATAATCCAGTCGGAGAAAGATAAATATCACATGATCTCACTCATTACTGGAATATAATGAACCACATAAACTGATGAACAAATATAGATCCAGAGACAGAAAAACTTCCAACAGACCATTAGACCTCAGAGGGAAGGCAGGGGTTGGGGAGGAGGTTGGTAAGAGATCAACCAAAGGACTTGTACACATGCATATAAGCATAACCAATGGACACAGACACTGGGGGAGTGAAGGCATATGCTGGAGTTTAGGAATGGCTGGGGAGAGGTCAATGGGGGTGGGAGGAAGGTGACATATGTAATACTTTAATCAATAAAGAGTAGAAAAATTGCCTACTTGAAACATAAACATAAGCACAAAAAAACATAAATTGCATTGAAACCGGTTTGACTCAGTGGATAGAGCGTCGGCCTGCGAACTGAAAGGTCCCAGGTTTGATTCTGGTCAAGGGCATGTACCTTGGTTGCAAGCACATCCCCAGTGGGGGGTGTGTGGGAAGCAGTTGATCCCTTTCCCTTCCTCTCTGTAAAAAAATCAATAAAAATATATTTAAAAAAAACATAAATTGCAAACATAACTGATAAAAAAAAATTAGCAGTCTATGTGCACAATAAGGATGTTTCTAGATACCATCAAATAAAATGACAATTCCGAACAGAAGGAGCTCGGGAACATTGTCCCTCAACTATGGTATAGAGTTTAATGCTACATTACAGTGAACTGTAAGGCTTTCCAAAGCTGCTCAATTTGCTTATTTCTCTCTTTCAAGCCTTGTGTGACACACATGTAAAGTTGTAGGCTTCTTTAAGTAAATAAAAGAGATTTCATACAAAAATAAAAATAAAAATAAAAATAAAATAAAATAAAATGACAATTCCAAAAAAAGAAAGACAATTTTGTGTGTATATATATCTTATGCATATATATATGTATTTGTGTAATAACCCTATGTATGTATGTATTTATAAATATACCATTTAAAGACATGTATATATACTAAAAAAATCAATAAAAACATTTTTTAAATAACTAATGAATGCATAAATAAGTGGAACAACAAATTGATGTTTCTCTCTCTCTCTCAAGTCAATCAATAAATACTTTTTAAAAAATTGATATAGAAGTGTACTATGGGCATTAATCATAAGAGGCTCTTGCTGTGCCCTCCCTACACACAAGTTTCTCCTATCTCTGCTGACCTCTGGTGGTTATAATTTGAACTGTACCTTCCCTTTCTATCAATAGAGGCCTGCTGGTAGGTAATGGTGTATTTTTTTTTCTCAACAATCCAAATTCAAATATTCAAGTGCTGTACTAAATGGAAATATTTTTATTGCTGTGTTTTGTATTTTTTTTCAGGCATTGTGGCATAATGCAAAGAATAGGACCTGGGATTTTTTTAAAATTTCTTTTGGGCCTGGGCTTTGGGGTCAGACTTACCTAGGTTCAAATCATCTTGGACAAGTTAGCTGAATTCAGCTTTCTTACCTATAAAGTGAAGATAATAATAATTTAAAAAATAACAAGTAGTTTAATAGGAGCATTAGATGAGGTGATTATAAATGCATAACCCTACCTGTGTCCTAGCACATGGGTGCTCAATAGAAGTTTGTCTCATTCTCATTAATAGTGATGTGTTCAGTGTGTGACTCAAAGTGATTTTTAAAATTCTGGAAACGTAAAGTTTACCATGATACCATTTTCCATGTGATTTTTTTTTTTTAATCCGAGAAATTTTATATAACTTATTTCTGGTTCTTGAATTTGGAAATTAGGTAACTCTAGTATGGGCTGTGAAGTCTCTCTCTGCCCAGGGAGCTGTGGACCCGAGACCTAAGAAGGGCTTAGATAAGGGTGAGAAGGGATCTTGGGCACAGCTGAATGGCTTTGTGCACTTGACCTCACTTGGGTTTCCTAGCTAACAGGGTCCAGTCATGTTCCCCCTGGGTCCGCCAAGGGCAGAGGTTTGAAGTTAAGCATCACTGGGTTCTCAGCTGGGCCTCCAAGGCCCCCTCCTCCCACTTGCAGAGAAAAGAGGAGGTGGCTGAATAGAGGAGGATATGAGATTGGTTCTCTGCTCCTCCCTCTCCTTGCTTTCCCCCACACCCACCCTCTCCCCCACAGCAGCCATCTCCCCCACAGAGACTGGAAAGAGGGAGGAGGGCGGAGTAGGGGACTGAGGGATCAGAAGCCCCAGTGCCCTGTATCTGAAGGAAGCGCTGGCCAGGGGCAGGTCCGCTGCCTCCTTCTAAATGATGCTGGGTACTCTGGGGCTTGGGGCACTGCTTCCCGAAGCTGCACAAGGTACGTGGCTACGGGGAGGGGCAGGGTCTTTCCATTCACCCATTGGAAGCAGCAGCCACCTCTTTGGAAGAGTGGTGAGTGAGGGTGACGGGGAGAGCCACGTGTCCCCAGCGGGGGTCAGGTTCCAGGCCTCTGCGGACACTGTTTCCTCCTTTGGCTTTACCATGCTGGCCCTGGGATATGAAACATGTTTTGTCTCTCCTTTTGGCTGCTGTTTTTGCCTCTGCATTCACTCTCTCGCACCTCCCCTCCCCACCCTGGGCCACAGCACCCCCAAGCAGGCGGACCTGTGTGTTCTTTGAGGCCCCCGGAGTGCGGGGAAGCACAAAGACACTGGGGAAGCTGCTAGATGCAGGACCAGGGCCTCCCAGGGTTATCCGCTGCCTCTACAGCCACTGCTGCTTTGGGATCTGGAACCTGACCCAAGACCAGGCACAGGTGGAGATGCAAGGTGAATGGCAAAGCATATGGCAGGTGATAGCCAGGGTGGGAGACAGGTACCTCCTGGGGTTGGGGCGGCAGCTGAGGGAGAGGAGGAAACAGGGAATGTGTGGAGGGGAAAGAAAAGCCCATATCAGATGGAAGGGACGCCTCTGAGGAGGGATTTATCCTCGCTCTCCCCAGACTCCATTGTGCTCTTTGTCTGGCTCTCCATCTCTCTTTCTTTTTCTCCTTCTCTTTCTTAATCCCTTTCTCCCCTCTTTTCCTCATCCTACCCTATCAGGGTGCCGAGACAGTGATGAGCCAGGCTGTGAGTCTCCCCGATGTGACCCAAGCCCCCGAGCTCAGCCCAGTCCCAGCTCCACTCTCTTCACCTGCTCCTGTGGCACTGACTTCTGCAATGCCAATTACAGCCACCTGCCTCCGCTGGGGAGCCCCGGGCCTCCTGGTGCCCAGGGTCCCCAGGCCATCCCAGGTAACCGGTGGGGTGCTGAGCCTGGGTGGAGGCTGGGCCCCAGGTTAGGAGAGGTAGAACCAGAGCCATTCTCACCCTACCCCCGTCCCAAGCTTCACTCCTTCTGGCCTTGAAAAGTTGGTTGCCCTGGTGACTGTGAGATAACAGGGCTTGTGACCAGGGTGGGGGTGGGTCGAGAAGCAAGACTTCTGAGGAGGGGGAGAGGAGCAGAGAGTAGATTTGGGGCAGGGCTCATCCAGCCTGGATTCTTGCGTTCATGCCCAGGAGAGTCCATCTGGATGGCGCTGGTCCTGCTGGGGCTGTTTCTCCTCCTGCTGCTGCTGGGCAGCATCATCTTGGGTATTCATCTGCCCCATCCCCTCACTGTGACCCCAGACGCTGCCCCAAAGCTCTGACCCCTCTCCAGGCTTCCTTGACCCTCTGGTTCTGAGATCTCTACAGCCTGACTCCCATTCCCTCCCACAAAGCCCCCTTCCGAGTCTCCATTCCCCTGCACTCTGACTCCAAGGCTCTTTTCCATCCCAGCCCTGCTACAGAGAAAGGCCTGCAGAGTGAGAGGTGGGCCAGCGCCAGCGCCAGCGCCAGACGCAGGCAGGGACTGGAGTGCGGAGCTGCCTGAGCTGCCTGAGCTGAGCTTCTCCCAGGTGCCCAGGGCGGGAGGAGAGGGTCCTCTGCGTACTCCCAGAGGGTGTGCTGGGGAGGAAGAGGCCCACACCCAACACCGTATCCCACCAGGTAATCCGGGAAGGAGGTCACGCAGTAGTGTGGGCTGGGCAGCTGCAAGGCGAGCTGGTAGCCATCAAGGCCTTCCCCCCGAGGGCTATGGCCCAGTTCCGAGCTGAGAGAGCATTGTATGAGCTGCCAGGCCTACAGCACGACCACATTGTCCGCTTTATCACTGCCAGCAGGGGGGGCCCTGGGCCCCTGCACGGTGGGCCCCTGCTGGTATTGGAACTGCACCCCAAGGTGAGGACCAAGAAATGTACATGTGTGTGTTTGCCTACGTGTGAATGGGGATGGAGATGGGGGCGGGGGAAGCTGGATATCAGCTGGGCCCTGTCCATGCTTATTCTTCTGCTTTAGATGTCCTGTTCTCTTAAACATTAAAGTTTATTTTTCATATTTTTTTCTTTTTATTACATATACTTTAATACTTTTAACCTGCTAATACTTTTAACCCATAAAATAGATAAGGAAATGGAAAAATCAAAATAATTTATATTCTGTACCTTAAAGAAAATCATTGTTAAAGAAAGACCTTGAGCCGAAACCGGTTTGGCTCAGTGGATAGAGCGTCGGCATGTGGACTGAAAGGTCCCGGGTTCGATTCCGGTCAAGGGCCTGTACTTGGTTGCGGGCACATCCCCAGGAGAGGGTGTGCAAGAGGCAGCTGATCAATGTCTTTCTCATCAATGTTTCTAACTTTCTATCCCTCTCCCTTCCTCTCTGAGAAAAATCAATAAAAATATATTTTAAAAATGATAATAAAAACCAGCACTCCATTTAATAAAAGAAAAAAAGAAAGACCTTGAGCCCTCCCTAGCTGGTTTGGCTCACTATTAGAGCATCAGCTCATGGACCATAGGGTCTCAGGTTCAGTTCTGGTCAAAGGCATGTACTTCGGTTGTAGGCTCAATCCTGGCCCAGGGTTGGTGCACTTGTAGGAAGCAACTAATCAATGTGTATCTCTCACATCAATGTTTCTCTCTGTATGTGTGTCTCCCCTCCCTTCCAATCTCTAAAAAAAAATTATTGGAGAATATCCTTGGGTGAGGACAAACCAAAATAATAATAATAATAACAACAATAATAAATAAATAAATAAATAAATAGCTTGAGCCTTACTGGTTTGGCTCAGTGCAGTGGATACAGTGTCAGTCTGCAGAGTGAAGAGTCTCAGGTTCGATTCCAGTCAAGGGCATATGCCCAGGTTGTGGTCTCAATTCCCAGTAGGGGGTGTGCAGGAGGCAGCCAATCAATGATACTCTCTCATCATTGATGTTTCTATCTCTCTCTCCCTCTCCCTTCCTCTCTGAAATCAATAAAAATATATATATTTTTTAAATACCTTGAGCCCTGGCCAGTGTTTCTCAATGGTTAGAACGTCAACCCACAAACCCAAAGGTCTTGGGTTTGATTCCCAGTCAAGGTCACATATCTGGCTTGTAGGTTGGATTCCTTCCCCATCAGGGCACATGTGGAAAGCAAACAATGTGTCTCTTTCACGTCAGTGTTTTTCTCTCTCTCTCCCTCCTCACTCTCCTTTCCCTCTGTTCCACTCTCTCTGAAAATCAATGGAAGGAATATCATTGGAATTAAAAAACACAGAAGCCCTAACCAGTTTGGCTCAGTGGACCGAGTGTCAGCCTGAGGACTGAGGGGTCCCAGGTTCCATTCCAGTCAAGAGCATGTACTTTGGTTGTGGGCACATCCCCATTAGGGGGTGTGCAGTAGGCAGCTGAAGGATGTTTCCCTCTCATGGATGTTTCTAATTCTATATCCCTCTCCCTTCCTTCCTGTAAAACAATAAAATATATTTACACACACACACACACACACACACACACACACACCCTAGCTGGTTTGGCTCAGTGGATAAAGCAAACTGAAGGGTCCCTGGTTCGATTCCAGTCAAGGGCACAGGCCCGGGTTGCAGGCTTGATCCCCAGTAGGGGGCGTACAGAAGGCAGCCAATCAATGATTCTCTCTCATCATTGATGTTTCTATCTTTCCCTCTCCCTTCCTCTCTGAAATCAATAATAAATAAATAAATAAATAAATAAATAAATAAATAAAAATTAAATTAAATTAAATTTTAAAAAAATACCTTGAGGCATAGCCCTTCAAATTTATTCATATATTCATTCAACAAATATTTATGAATTGTGTGTCAGGCACTATTCTGAGTGCTAGGGCAAACACTCTCAGTCCCTCCCTGCCTTTACAGGTTTTATGGAGTAGTAGGGGAGGGAAGTGGGTCAAACAAACACAAAAATAAGTTTAAAATGTCAAGCGTATTAGGTGTTGAAAGAGAGGGCCATGCTACTACAAGAGAAGACTAAGGAGACGTGACTCAAGGGCGGACCATGAACAATAAGAGGAAGAGGAAGAGGTAAGCAAGGACCAGGCCACACTTGGCCTTGTGGGCCTGAGGACTCAGGAGTTTATCAGCACCCGTAGCTCCTTCACCTGTGAAATCTTGAATTCTGGGAAGTCCCCTTTTTGACCAGGTGCCTCACTGCTCAGCTCACAAATCACTGCCTTATTGGTTTTGTTTATTTGTTTAACTTTCCTGGCACACTGAAAGTGCTCAATGTTTGTCGAATCTAGAACTCTTTTATAAAAAAATAAGTTTTTATTGATTTTAGAGAGAGAGATAGAAACATTGACGAGAGAGAAGCATTAATAAGCTGCCTCTTGCTTGCCACCCACCAGGGATCAAACCGGTGACCTCTTAGTGCACGGGTAGATGCTCAACCACTGAGCTACACTGGCCGGCTCACATGCAGGACTTTTTTTTTTTTTTTTTTTAATATAAATTAGTATATTTATCCATATGCATTTTCATAACAATTTAGCTTGTTTTCTATACCATATTGATATTGAGATAAATGCAAATAAATAGTCTTTTAAGTTATTTCTAGTAAAAATCAATTTATCTAATTTTTCACTATTGCAAAGTAAGGTTACATGAAGAGAAAACATCCCAAATAGAAAACAAAATTTGTCTTAATAACTATTTAGAGTAGAAAAAATATTTATATTAAATAAAGAGTAAGTTTGATAGAGTTGAGTTACTACTTACATTATCATGAACCATCAGAATATCAATAGATAAATTTTCTCCAATATCTATTTCTTCAAATTTCATTTAACAAATAAAGATTTGAGTTTAATAATAGAACTTATAAGCTACTTTTATATTCAAGAGATCAAAAATGTGCAGATGCTGTGTACTACAATGCAAGTGTCATGAATTATTCAAAGTACTTTACATAATGTGTGTGTATGTGTGTGTTCGTGTGTGTTTAACTGAAAGCAATTATGCAAATGAGGTGTTATACTATTATTTCCAAACGACCAATCAAAATAAATAATTCCCTAAGGTCAAAATGACTAGAAAATTACTGATATCTCAAGTCCAGTTTGTCAAATTCCACAGCATATCTGCATTTAAAGCTACCCATTGAGCTTTATGGGCATTTGACAAGTAAATTGTGTAATTGTAAATCTGTGAACACAAGCCAATTCTGAATGGCCTTCTCAATTATGATTAATTTTGAAACAGCGCTTTTTGAATGGCAGCAGATGATATTGAGTTTCCCCATTATATTTGTTATTTTCTAGTTTGTCACCCCTCCCCCTTGGAGTTGCACTAACTGGAGCCATATTAAAAAAAAAAAAAAAAGAAATTCTGAAATTCTGTGTACAGAGTTCTGCTGACATTCTGAGAATTCAGGAGTGAATATGCAGAAATTTGGGCGTTAAACACTCAATTTGTGTAAAATGTGTTATTTTTGTGTTCTGTCTTGTTGAGTGGCAATGGAAGTAAGTATTAAAGTATTCAAAAGGTCTCTTTTCAATAGCTGATCCTGCCTTGGGCTTTTACTGATACAGACTCAAGAGGCCCTTCAACATACAGGACTCTTGCTCCTTACTTAACAATTTCCACTTGCTTCCCAACTGCCACTCTCCTACCCAACAGATCTATTCAATGGCCAGTTCTACCAAACGGGCTTGACACCTCCAGCCAGGGGGTTCATGAGGGGTGCCTGGGCCTAGCTGGTCCTGCCTCTCCTTTTTCTGCCTTTGTCCAAAGTCCTCTGAGGCAGTCTGAGGTGGTTCATTGTGAGTGACACTAAAGACAGACTGCTTGGGTTCAAGCTCCACTTCTCTTTCAACAAGTAACTTCCAGCGAGCTTGGTTAGCTCTCTGTCAAGCTCCTCATCTGTAAAACAGGAGTGACAGGAGTATCTCCCTCCTAGAGTTGTTTGTGAGGATTGCAGGAGGCCTGGCCCACAGTGAGTGCTCAGGACCCTTGAACTGAAGTTGCTATTTTTTTTTTTAATATATCTTATTGATTTTTACAGAGAGGAAGGGAGAGGGATAGAGAGCCAGAAACATTGATGAGAGAGAAACATCGACAAGCTGCCTCCTGCACACCCCCTACTGGGGATGTGCCCGCAACCAATGTATTGTACATGCCCTTGACCAGAATCAAACCTGGGACCTTTCAGTCCACAGACCAACGCTCTATCCACTGAGCCAAACCGGTTTCGGCTGGAGTTGCTATTTTTCCTGCCAATCTGACTATGCGCACTCTCACTCCTCCATTGCGTGTTATCCTGCCCTAGATGTGTCCGTGTTTGGGTCTGTTGAGACATGCAGGGGGATGTTTGTCAACTGGCCTCTCTTCTGCGGTGGGTCAGCCACCTCCAGCTTTGTGTGTCCCCCTTTTCTCTGTGCTTCTCCCCAGGGTTCCCTGTGCCACTACTTGACCCAGCACACCAGTGACTGGGGACGTTCCCTGCGGATGGCACTGTCCCTGGCGCAGGGCTTGGCATTTCTCCACGAGGAGCGCTGGCAGGATGGTGGGTGAGCTGAGAGCAAGAAGCCATGGGAATCAGAACCACAGTACTATGTTTCTCCCTTAGCTTGGAGGGGAAGGATTGGGTCCAAGGGGAAAGGAAGAAGACTCACGCCCCTTCAACCTTGGCTTCTCCCACAGGCCAATATAAGCCAGGTATTGCCCACCGAGATCTGAGCAGCCAGAATGTGCTCATTAGGGAGGACGGGTCATGTGCCATCGGAGACCTGGGCCTCGCCTTGGTGCTACCGGGCCTCACCCAACCCCCCACCTGGGCCCCCACTCGACCCCAAGGCCCAGCGGCCATCATGGAGGTAAGTACTCTGGATAAGGTGAGGCCTAGGATAATGGTGCTGCTGCCGCCGCTGCTGAAGATGTGTCCATTGCCATGGCAACAGTGCAGCAGGGCCTGCAGCATTGGAGACATTGCTGAGTCTGTAGCTGGGGGATACTGCATGGACCGGTGTTGTGGTGAAGGCTGTCAAGGAGATGATTCTTGGTCCTCTACGCCTTTCTCTCCAGGCTGGTACCCAGAGGTACATGGCCCCGGAGCTCCTGGACAAGACTCTGGACCTCCAGGACTGGGGTACGGCCCTCCGGCGAGCCGATGCCTATTCTCTGGCTCTGCTCCTGTGGGAGATCCTGAGCCGCTGCCAGGACCTGTGGCCTGGTAAGGATGGGTGCAACAGTCCCGTCTCTTCTCCAATGCCTCACCTATCCATTCCAGACCCACCTACCTCCTGACCCAGGAAGCTCTGCCCTTCTCCCCCTTGGTCTTCCCACCAGGAAGGCACCCCTAGCGCTAGCTGACACACAATCCTATGTGCTTTCCCCCAGACAGCAGACCACCGCCCTTCCAACTGGCCTATGAGGCGGAACTGGGCAGCGCCCCCACCGCCTGTGAGCTGTGGACCTTGGCAGTGGCGGAGAGAAGGCGCCCTTACATCCCACCCACTTGGTGCTGCTTTGCCACAGTAAGGAGCCACTGGCTGGTGGGCTGGGGGCTGGAGAGTCTGGGCACAGGCTTCCAGGGCGTGTCTGCGAGGACCAGTCCCTCTACTCCTTCTATCCCTTCTTCTGCCACCTCTCCTGGATCATGTCCAGCTGAAGCTGGGCAAACTTTCTCTGTATCTCAGCTCATCCTCTTCCACCGTAAGTCTCACACAGCCCACTCCTGAGGCTCACACCTTCCCTTCGCTCAGTCTTGCCCAGTCTGTCTTTCCTCTCCCCGCCTGTTAGCCCTGTTCTTCAGTCCCCTGCTTCAGGAAGTCCTCCTTCAAACACTGTCTCCATGAGCACTGACTTCCAGATGGCTTCTCTCCCGGTACACTGGCATCCAGCCTTCAATCCAACCGTCCCTGGTTCTGTCCTACACAGCTGTGCTTCTAACATGACCCAATAAAGCCAGTTCTAGGTAGAAAAGGTTAAAGCAGTGGCCTAAAAATGAAATGTTAGTGGTCTGCTCAAATAGTTTTTAACAGGAAACCCCTTCCCTGCTACCTGGTCTGAAATATCTGGCCTAACACTTCCACTGCACAAGTATTATATTTGCTGTGTTAGATAACAGAGGCCCCGAAGCTGTTTGCAGAAGACCCTGTTAGCCTAAAAAGGAGAGCAGTTTCCCATCAACAGGTTAAGCCATAACCAGAATTAGCTCCTCGGAGGAAAAGGCGGACCGGTTGGAAGGCACCCAGAGAACCTGTCTCAGGCAACGAGATGCAGAGGGCTGAATTTCAGGGAGGGGAGCGGGGGAGGGCTGCTCCAGGGAGGGTCAGAGGAAGAGTGTTGAAAACAGAGGAGCGGTGGATATCTTTGAATGATCTGCTCCGGGTCCTGGGGTCCAGCCTGCCTCTTGGTCGTTGTTCCCAGGACCCCGGTGCCCTCCGGGAGCTCCTGGAGGACTGCTGGGACGCGGACCCGGAAGCCCGGCTGACAGCGGAGTGTGTGCAGCAGCGCCTGGCTGCCCTGGCCCGCCCTCCGGAGGCCCGCCTCTTCCCAGGGGGCTGTTCACACAGCTGCCCACCTCTCTGTGCAGGAGACTGTCTCCCGACGCCTCCCCACCACCGTTCCCCCCTGTAGGCCTCGGCTGAGAGTCTGTCACTTCGGCGTTCGGCAAGGCCCTTGTTTCAGGATTCCCAACCTACCTACCGGTACCATTTCTCACGTGTAAATACGCAGTTTATGTGTAGTCTATGTATGTGCAAAGGAGACATGGTGATCGTATGCTGTTTGCTCTGCCTCACGGCTGCCTTTCCCGCTTGCCAAATGCTTTGACCCTTCCGTGGGCATCCAGCCCACTATAATTCTGACCAGTGATGGAGGGTAGGTGTGCACAGGAAAGAGATAAAGTCAGCTTTCCTGACTCCACACCCTGAGAGCATGCTCCCTTCTTGTGATCCTGGGCTCCTCCCGGCTCTCTCCTTTTCTTCCTCCTCAACAAGCCTTCATTTGGTGGGATACCGTGAAGGGCACTGGGGAAAGAGGGATGAATACCATGAAATTGCTGCTCTGAAGGTGCTCAGAGACCCATAACTCATGTTTTGGGGTCCTGTACAGTGTCCTGGGCGGGGGTGCTCTCTGCTGAGGCTTGAGTAGGAAGGCCTCACAGCACAGGATGCTTGAGCTGGGTCTTGGATGAGCAGGATTTTCCAGGAGTGTTGGGGGCAGTATGACATTCCTGCCCAGTGAGATGTATCATGAAATTGTAGGTAACCTGAGTAGCAAAAGTGGGGGGGAGGGGGGCACGGACCGAGGGGAGAAGAGAGAGAAAAGATGACATGGAGAACAGACAAGGCTTTGCGAGCCACGCTGAGAACTTCTTCCTTCATTTCTTTTTTTTATGTTTTCTCTACTGGCTTTTCTTACCCTAGCCGGGCATCTTTAATCCTGGGTACCCCTCAAGGTCCATCCCGTTACAAGTGCCTGCCTGGTGTACAACCCTGGCTGGTTTCTGACTCTCCAAGTGCCCTTGGGCTAGTTACTTCCTCTTTCTAGGGCTCAGGCCCCTGATTTGCTGTAGAAGGAGTTGGAAGCCCCTTTGGCCCAACCGGAGGAACAATGAGGGAGTCCTGATTTCACTGCCACAGGATTGCTTCCTGCTCAGAGACCAGCTAACTCTATGTCCTCGGGCAAGTTTCTTCACCCTTGGAATCTCAGCTTTATCTTGTGTGAAGTGTGGAGAAAAACAATTGAATTGCCGACAGGGTCAATTCAGGGTGGGGAAAAAAAAAAAGGTGACAGGTCTTACCCAGCTCCCGGCCTTAGTAAACACTCTGTAAACGGTAGCAGTTGTGATTGAGCATTGACATTATTCTAGCCCCTTTCTAGCTTGGTTGTTCTAGAGTTCCAGGATTAGCCTCTGGAGAGCCCATCTACCCCCTGGCCCGGAGATTTCACCTTTCCTCACACCCAGGTCTCTAAATCTCTACAAGACATCACCACTTGGGTAGGCAGCCACCGCATGAAACCAAACACATCAAAACCCAGGCTCCTGCCTCCCCCTCCACCACAGGGCTGCCTTTCCTTCTTCCTCGACTCTCGAGGACACCAGTTTCTCTCGGTCCTAGAAGATCCCAATAGGGAAGATGTTCTTGTCCCTTCCTGAGGCCCCAGCTCACCTTACCCATGTCTGGTTAGTTCTCAGGCCCCACTGAGGTTGTGTGGGCGCAGGGCCAGCTGCTGGGTACCATCCCCCTTTCCTCCCTCCTAGGTCTGGCAGCCTCAACTACGGAAATGACCGCTTGGCCGCCTCCCTCCCTCCCCCCCAGCCTAGGTTAAACTCCATTCTAAATAATCTTTAAACATAACTTCATTGTATTTTGCCTCTCACAACAGTCTACTTGCCTGTTTTGTGATAATCCTGTGGGCACCATTTACAAAGGAGGAAAACAAGGATTCAGGGAAGATTAGGAATATGTCTAAGGTCACACAGACCTTAAGTAACAGAGCAGGAATTCTCATCATTAAAAACAATGTTTATGAAAATGCCATGAATGATTAGAAATGGTAATGTCATGTGAAAAGAATACACAGACCTGTGCTGGCAAGCATAGGGTTATGTTAAGTAAAAATAAACCTCTAATTGTAATGCCCAAGTGTCATAAACCCCAAAGACTACCAGGGAGCCGAATCCGATGCAATTGCAGAAAGCCTGTATTTATTTCGGACTAGTCCGAGCCCAGTCTCACCTACACCAACGAGGGCATGGGCGAGAAAGAGGAAGAACTTAACATATCAATGGGTTTTATAGGGAGGGTGGTGCCGCTACCTTGACTGACCTGATTGGTTGGGTTAGGCCTAGGGTCCAGTTACCTGGAGCTGGACCCGCCCCACCCTGCCCTCTCACCCCGCCCTGCCCCCTCACCCCACCCTGCCCTCTCACTAATCACAAGAAAAACAAACAAACCCCAACAGAGGGACATTTTATTAAATACCCATTCAGCACTCCTCGGAAAGTATCAAGATCGTCTTAAATAAAGAAAATCTGAGAAACTGTCACAATGATGAGGAGCCTCAGGAGACATGGTGACTAAATGAAATGTGATATCCTGGACCAGAATTGGGTAAAAACTTAAGAAGTTGGAATAAAGTTAACAATCATAAGTCAATGTTGATTCATTCTGGTAACAAGCATACTAATGTAAGATATTAATAATAGGGGACTGGGTGTGGGGAATATAACAATTCTGTATCATTTTTCTGTAAACCTAAAACTGTTCTAAAAAATAAAGCTTATTAAAAACAGCAACAACTATGACCATCTCCAAAAGGCCAGAGAGGCCATAAATACAAGGAGCAAGGGGAGGGTTGTGGTAAGCATTACAGTGTCCATTTGCGGTAATTTTGAGTGGATGTACTGTAATGTGTTGCATTGAAGGCATCACTAACATAGAAGCCAAAAACCTGAGATTATTATCTTGGTTCTCCTAACTGTGAACTTGTCGAAAAGTTTATTTACTTAATATTCTCAGGAAGTTGAAAGAACAATTCTCTGTCATTTTCATCCCTATAATCCTATGATTGTACGATAAAATGGGATTATTTCATCAAATCCAGTGTTTATCTAGTTGGTATTAACATGATTGGTGAGTCCATGCTCACAGAGAGGTAGTATACATGTAAATAAGCTCTTTAGAAGCTTGAAAACATAAATATCTGAATAGCGTGGTCTTATGGAAGAAAAACTCTATAGCTGAAGACAAAGGTGGTGATCATGGAAGAAGACTGATGTTTTGCTATATACCTTTATTTTTACCTCTTGAATTTTGAGTTATTTGCATGTTTTGTCTATTAAAATTAAATATACTAAGCCAAAACCGGTTTGGCTCAGTGGATAGAGCGTCGGCCTGCGGACTGAAAGGTCCCAGGTTCGATTCCGGTCAAGGGCATGTACCTTGGTTGCGGGCACATCCCCAGTAGGGGGTGTGCAGGAGGCAGCTGATCGATGATTCTCTCTCATCGATGCTTCTAACTCTCTATCCTTCTCCCTCTCTGTAAAAAATCAACAAAATATATATATTTTAAGATGAGAGAGAATCATCAATCAGCTGCCTCCTGCACACCCCCTACTGGGGATGTGCCCTCAACCAAGGTACATGCCCTTGACCGGAATCGAACCTGGGACCTTTCAGTCCGCAGGCCGACGCTCTATCCACTGAGCCAAACCGGTTTCGGCAATAAAATATATTTTTAAAAAATAAAATTAAATTAAATATACTTTAAATTTTTTTTATATTTTATTGATTTTTTTACAGAGAAGAAGGGAGAGGGATAGAGAGTTAGAAACATCGATCAGCTGCCTCCTGCACACTCCCGCAACCAAGGTACATGTCCTTGACCAGAATCAAACCTGGGACTCTTCAGTCCGAAGGCCGATGCTCTATCCACTGAGCGAAACCGGTTAGGACTAAAAAAATATTTTTATTGATTTCGGAGAGGAAGAGAGAGAAACATCAATGATGAGAATCATTGATCGACTGCCTCCTGCACACCCCCTACTAGGGATTGAGCCCACAACTCGGGCATGTGCCCTTGACCGGAATCGAATCTGGGACCCCTCAGTCCATAGGCTGATGCTTTATCCACTGAGCCAAAATGCCTAGGGTGAAATACAACTTTTTTAATATTTATGGATTTTCAGAGAGAAGAGGAATGGAGAGAGAGAGAGGATGGGGGAGAAACATCGATGTGAGAGAGAAACTATAATCGGTTGCCTCCTGCATATGTCCTGACTAGAGGTCAAACCAGCAACCCAGGTGTATATAACCTGACCAGGAATCAAGCCCAAAATCTTATGTGTACAAAACAATGCTCCAATCCATTGAGCAACCCGGCCAGGGCTAGTTGGGTCTCTTTTATCCATTCTGATCATTCTACTTTTTTAAAAAATTTATTTTATTGTTTAAAGTATTACAAATAGTAGTACATGTGTCTCCTTTTTTCCCCCATTGACCTTCCCAGCTTCCCCTACCTCTCAGAACCATTCTACTTTTAAAAATATGTATATTTTTATTGATTTCAGAGAGGAAGGGAGAGGGAAAGAGAAAAATGATAAGAAAGAATAATTGGCCGGGACCGGTTTGGCTCAGTGGATAGAGCGTCGGCCTGCAGACTGAAGGGTCCCAGGTTCGATTCCGGTCAAGGGCATGTACCTTGGTTGCGGGCACATCCCTGGTAGGGGGTGTGCAAGAGGCAGCTGGTCGATGTTTCTCTCTCATTGGCGTTTCTAGCTTTATCTCTCCCTTCCTCTCTATAAAAAAAAACAACAACAACACACACACAAAAAACAAAAAAAAAACTTAAAGTATTTAATAAATCTATTAAAGTTTTTAGTTCAAAATGGCAAACTCGGTTGAAATCAATTTTTATAAAATGTTCTTAAGTTTGCTTAAGAGGAATGAGTATTTTTAAACTTTTGGGTGTATGGTTGTCTATATATTAATTAAATCACGCTTGATAATTGTCTTAATACAAAAACAAAACAAAACAAAGGTCATTGCAGCAATCCAGTCAAGAGATGACCGTAGCTTGGGAGCAAGGAAGATGAGAAGTGCAGGGATTCCACCGTGCAGTGGTGTTGCAGAAGGGCCGGGAAGAAGCGACGCAGAGAGAGGAGCTATCAAAGGTGACCTCCTGGGGTCTCTGGTTTATGAAGTTCGATAGCTGCGAGTGGGTGTGTCCACATAAAGTATTGGAGGATCTTTCCTGAGCCACTTTCCTGATTTCGCCAGGAAGAGGGTCCTTCACTTAGCCTAGGTGGCTTCTAGTTTCTGCAACTTTTTTTAAAAAATATTTTTTAATATATTTTATTGATTTTTCACAGAGAGGAAGAGAGAGGGATAGAGAGTTAGAAACATCGATAAGAGAGAATCATCGATCAGCTGCCTCTTGCACACCCCCTACTGGGGATGCGCCCGCAACCAAGGTACATGCCCGTGACCGGAATCGAACCCGGGACCCTTCAGTCCACAGGCCAACGCTCTATCCACTGAGCCAAACCGGTCCCGGCTAGTTTGTGCAACTTGACAGATGGCGGAGCCACGCAATTGAGATGGGGCAACCTAGGAGAGATTAGGAAATCTCCATATTTCCGGTAACAACATTTCTTTACTTCCCACGGAAACTAAGAGGGAGGTGGCAATATTGAGGCTTCCCCTTCGCCCCTAAGCGCTCTGCATACACCACATGTGTCAAACACAAGGCCCGCGGGCCAAATCCGTCCCGCCAGGCCTTGCAATGTGGCCCGCACCGCGCTGTCATCACTGCACTCCGCTGCGTTTCCATCACAATGACAGTTTATGACTGTTCAGTAAACCATTCGGCCCGCGATTCAGGCTGGATTTTAGATTTTGGCCCCTTCTCTGATTGAGTTCGACACCCCTAGCATACACACATTATAAGGTGTCGCACCACCTGGACGAGAAGCTCAGGGGGTAGGTGCGGAATTTCTTCTTCGTATTTTAGGGGCTTTGCCCAGAAACCCGCTTCTCCCTCTCCGGACCAATCTCAACCCGCCACGCACCTCGGAATTTCCGGCCCGCCCACCCTTCTGCCCCGCTCACCCCTCTGCCCCCGCCCACCCCGCCTCTCCCTCAGAGCCCCGGCTCCGCCCCTATTACAACCGCACCTTCTAGCCCAGCAGGGCCGAGAGTAATTGACAGGCACATTTTCCAATCATAACGCCGAATGACCACATAATGACCAATCAGGTGGCAGCAGAGGCGGGCGCCGAAGCGGAACCGGTGGGGGGCGTGGCCAGGAAGGGGGAGCGGAGCCTGAGGAGGACCAGCCCAGCCCAGGTGGTTGGTGTAAACGTGACGGGGCATCTTGGTGCCCCAGTTTCCTCCCTTTCCCGTTCCTGGGTCAGGGGTCCCTTCGCAGCTGGGAGCCAGGGTCTCCATTTGCTCTCTTTAATGGGCAAGGCTGAGGAGCTACATATGTAAGCAGCTGAGGACCTTTTAGGAGCCACCTTCCTGGTTTCGCTGACACCTTCCAGGTTTGGTCTGGAGGAGGGTCCTTAGCCTGGGGTGGGGGTGCTGTCTCCTGTCCCCCGGGGTGGGGGGTGAAGTTGTTTAAAATCCTTCCTGAATCTGTGCGTGGTTGAAGTCACGGACACGGAAAGGGAGAGGAGGCTCGGGGATTGCGAAGTTCGCGGGCCCCGCCCCTCTGTGGCGGAGTTGGAGACGTCGCCCTGCGGACCGAGGTGGTGGACGGTGGAGCTGCCCTGGGAGCTAGGTGCCTGAGGTTAGGGAACTAGGAATAAAACAGGTGTTGAGGGAGAAGGAACGGTGGAAGGAAACTTGTCAGGTGGAGGTCATGGTGGTTGTGGAAGACCACTGTAGAGCTTGGGGCTTTGGATGGGGCGCGGTCCCTAAATCCCCTCCCTCCCCTCCCCCCCCTCCCCCCCTCCCCCCAACTTGCGGGCGGTCATCTTTTTGCCTTCTTTCTCCTCAGGTTGGAGGAAACACCTGATCATGTGGAATTCCAATGCTGGTAGGTGTTTGGGGGTGCTCTCTTCTCTATCCCAACCGCTTTTCAAATGGGCCCACAACAGGAAGTTTCTGTGTTTTTCTTCCACCTCTCCCCTCATCTGCAAAGGCCAAGTCCCTAATGGCTGATTCCATGACCATGTCTTTCCTTGGAGTTCACCATCTCCCTCTCTTCCTAGCGGGAGAGGGACATTACCTTTTATCTCTTCTGCATGGATTTGTTTCCCTTACCTTCCATTCTCCTTCCTCACTTTTTCATTTCCCTTTAAGTATTTTTTATTTTTATTTTTTAACTTATTTAAAGTATTACATATGTGTCCTTATACCCCATTACCCCCTAAAAAAAACCACACAAACACTCATGCCTTCACCTCCCTGGTGTCTGTGTCCATTGGTTAGGCTTATATGCATGCATACAAGTCCTTTGGTTGATCTCTCCCCATTACCCCACCCTCTCCTGCCTTCCCTCTGAGGTTTGATGGTCTGATGGATGCTTCTCTGTCTCTGGATCTGTTTTTGTTCATCAGTTTATGTTGTTCATTGTATTCCATAAATGAGTGAGATCATGTGATATTTCCCTTTAAGTACTGAGTGAGAAACTAAATCCCTGCCTTTTTGTTGTTTGTTGTCAGAGGCCCTAGGTAATCCTAATCTTAATTTCTTTTTTGCTTCTTTCTTCAGGGCAGCCAGGGCCAAATCCATATCCCCCTAATGTCGGGTACCCTGGAGGTTCCAATCCTGTCCATCCACCGTCTGTCAATCCTGCCTTTCCTCCGCCCCCCTTTCCTCCTCCCTCTGGCCCCTTTCACACTCCCCCGGGAGCTCCCCAGGGGAATCCAGCTTACCCCCCAGGCGGGACTCCTTATCCTGGGCCACCACCAGCGTATCCAGGATACCAACCAGCAGGTCCCTATCCCCCTCCATATCCACCACCTGCCCCTGGCATGCCTCCTATTAATCCCTTGGCTCCTGGCATGCTAGCACCAGGAATGGTGAGTGATAAGAAGATGCGGAAGAAAATGAAGAAAGCTCAAAAAAAGGCGCATAAGCACCATAAGCATGGCAAGGTCAGTGCCTTCTGGAGCTTGGCTAGGCAGGGGTGCCCCCTCAGAGAGACTAGGCAAGCAAGGGGTGACGCGGGGGGATTCATAGTCTGAGGTCATGGGGCAGTGATTGTGTTGCTCTGGTGATGGTTCTTCCTTTTTATAAAGGATTCCCACTGGGAAGAATCTGATAATCTTGAAAAGAAATATTAAGCTAATTGGGCTTTCTACAGCTAAGGGGCTAGGCTGAGCCTTAGAATGGATCTCAGAATCAAAAGCCTTTCTTGTCTGCTTTTCTCTCTCCCAGAATTTTTGAACCCCTCCCTCACTCCCAGATGCAGGTTTTAATTGTACATACCCACTGAGGTGGTCAAATGTCCACTAACAGGGTCAGCTTTTTTTTTTAATCCTCACATGAGGATATGCCTATTGATTTGAGAGGGGTGGTGGTGAGAGAGAGTATTGCCTTCCGTACATTCCCCGACTGGGGAATCAAATCCGCAACCTTTTCCGTATACCGGACAACGCTCCAACCAGTTGAGCACACCCACTAGGGCAGTAGGGTTAGTCTTTTGACAAAGCAGTCTTATATTATATTTAATAAATAATAATCTGGCCCTAGTTCCTTTCTCTCCTTCGGGGTGTTTTAATTACATAGGCCTTTTTGCCCTGCCCACCCAGTGGGGAAATTGAGGACTAGTGGTTCTCAGCCTCAAAACCTAAGTTTCATGCTCAGCCCCAAGACTAAGTAAGTATCCTCATCTAGACTCTAGAGGAGTGTTAATTAGCAAGGATGAAAGTAGTTTTATAGACAACTCTGTAAGTATTGAATCAACCTGGATCTTGAGGAGGCCTTAATGAACATTTTAGTGCTTAGTATTTATTTCCTTATGGCTTTGGGCACTAATTCCTGGGTCTGGATCTTTTGTAGAAGTCTGAGGAGAAGGAAAGGTGAGATTTAATGGGGGGATAAATTACCCTGGAGAGTCTCCAAAATTGTTTTTTTTTTTTTAAAAAGTAATCTTTTAGCCCTAGCCAGTTTGGCTCAGTGGATTGAGTGTCAGCCCTCAGACTGAAGGAGCGTGGGTTTGATTCCAGTGTAAGGCACATATCTCAAATGCAGGCTTGATTCCCAGCCCTGGTTGGGGCAGCCAATCAATGTGTCTCTCTCATATAGATGTTTCTCTTTCTCTGTATCTCCTGCTCCCTTCCACTCTCTCTAAAACTCAATGGGAAAATATCCTTGGTTGAGGACTAACAAAAAAAAATATTTTAGCCTGGCCAGTATTGCTTAGTGGTTGAGCATCAATCTATGAACCAGGAGGTCATGGTTTGATTCCCCATCAGGGGGCCTAGGCCCATGCTTGGGTTGTGGGCTCAATCCCCACTTTGGCAATCAATGATTTTCTTCTTATTATTTATTTATTGATTGATTGATTTATTGATTTTGTACAGAGAGGAAGGGAGATAGAGAGTTAAAAACATCGATGAGAGAGAGTCATCGATCAGCTGCCTCTTGCACACCCTCTACTGGGGATATGCCCTCAACCAAGGTACATGCCCTTGACTGGAATCGAACCCGGGACTCTTCAGTCCCCAAGCCGACGCTTTATCCATAGAGCCAATCCGGTCTCGGCAATTCTCTTATTATTGATGCTTCTATTTTTCTCTCTTTCTCTCTCTGAAATCAATGTTTGTGTGTGTGTGTGTGTGTGTGTGTGTGTGTGTGTGTGTCTGTGTATACTTTTTTGTTAATTCTCAACTGAGGATATTTTTTCATTTTTAAAGAGAGTGGGAGGAGGAGAAACAGAAACATCGATGTAAAAGAGAGGTATCGATTGGTTGTCTCACACATGCCCCGACTAGGGCATATTGGGATGATGCTTTAACCAACTGAGTTACCCGGCCAGGGTTTAAAAATGCTTTCAATGACAGTTGTCAATGGGAGTATGTGTGTAAAGTACCTCGAGTAGGAGTCTCCCAACTTTCTATCCCACCTTCACTTTCTCCCAGTTAGGAAAAAGTAGAGATATAAATGCACACACAGCTGTTGTTTATATTCACTTTCTTAAGTTCATAGCCTCTAGGAGCTTTCCATGCAGCTAATCAGTGAGCATTTATAAGGAGGCAGTTATTCCCTAGCTCGTGCCTATAATTTATTCCTTACACTGGCCTTGGTAAAGAAGGTTGGGAAACTTGCTCTGTGTGAAGTATGTTAAATCTGTACAGTGGATTAGGATAGTTTAATCCATTCCTGTATCCTCGCTGCTTAAGGAAATCTTTGCTTTTGTGAGTGAAGGGACAGTCTGGTTTAAAACTCCTGATCTTGTTAATGTACCTGGGTGGGAGGGTAGAGAATCAAAATCTGTCCCATGGAGTGATCAAATGTCATTTGGATTGGATGTTATCTCCTTTCCCCTTTCCCCTTGCAGCACTCCTCCTCCTCTTCCAGCAGTGACTCTGACTGAATACAGAGTCTGGACCCTCCCGGCAAGTCTCTCCAGTTCTGCTCTCCCATCAAGCTTCAATGCCATCGTGCACTGGGGAAAATTAGCCATTGTGTTCCTCAACCCCTGTACCCCAATCTGAGCCTTACTCTTGCTATTCAGCATTAACTGCTTAGGGGAAGTGGGAAAATAATTGCTATGAGCTGAAACCGGTTTGGCTTAGCGGACAGAGCTTTGGCCTGCGGACTGAAAGATCCCAGGTTCAATTCTGGTCAAGGGCATATACCTTGGTTGCAGGCACATCCCCCGTAGGAGGTGTGTAGAAGGCAGCTAATCGATGTTTCTCTCTTATTGATGTTTCTAACTCTCTATCCCTCTCTCTTCCTCTCTGTAAAAATAAATAAATAAATAAAATCAATAAAATATATTTTTTTAAAATAAAAAGCTTTAAAAAAAGAAAGAAAGAAAAGAATTGCCATGGGTTAGCAAAGGCCGTCTTCACAGTGCTTGAATAGAGCTTTCAGCTGATGAGTTTTAAGGAGAACTATTTTTTGAAGTCAGTGAAACCTTTAAGCTAAATGCTGAAGGTAAGCTAAATGCTGAATATAACTCAAAAAATCTAGAAAATGTGGTTTTTAACTTTATTTTGTAATATTTGTAGTTTGGGAGGTGTTGTAGAAACTTAATTGTGGGAGAAAAACAAACTACTTTTTTTTTTAATTGTGTCATGCTTGGTCAATTTAATGGCAAATACATTTCCCCGAAGACCTTTAACTGATTGCTCTAACTGCAAGACTGCTGGGAAGTACAGTCCCATTTGTTGATGAGTCCTGACAGCCATTTTGGAATCTAATCTTTATTCTTTAGTTGAGTATGCTACTTCAGGTCCTCCCCACATTCTCCAACTCTCAGTCCAAATGAAGCTGTTTGTCCTGGCCTCTGTACACCTGAGTCATTACCTTAGTTAGACCTAGTACATTCTACTACTTTTGGTGCCCTTCCCAGACTTTAAAGTGTATCAGTTTGCCCTAACTGGTTTGGCTCAACCTGACCAAAATAGAGTGCCGACCTATGGACTGAAGGGTCCTTGGTTTGATTCTGGTTAAGGGCACATGCAGGTTGCGGGCTAGATCCCCAGTTGGCAGCGGGGCATGCAGGAAGCTTCCAATCAGTGATTCTCTCTCATTGATGTTTCTATCTCTCCTACCTCCCTTTCTGAAATCAATAAAAAATATATTAAAAACAAAATAAAGTGTATCAGTTTTATAGTAAGGAACCAGAGCATTAATGAGCAAGAGACCATACTGTATGTTTCTTAAGTGGGAGGAACCTTCAAAATTGGTTCAGGCTTAATGGAATGAATATTTATATTGTCTTTTTAATGAATGGGTAGGTCTTTGGCATAAGTTTTCATATCTGCCTCAGAGGTTCTCAGCCCTGGTTGTCCATTACCTATCAGAGAGTAATTTAGGATTTTGCCCCAAATCTATTGAATACGACTCTTTAAGGATGGGATTCTATAAGTCAGTATTTTTTATTCTGATAACAGCTAGAATTGAGAACCACTGGTTCACTCTGTGCCATCCACAGTACTACACATCAGGTTCTCAAAAATCTGTTGAATAGAGCAAAAAGACATCTAAGATAATCTATATATATTATAAAAAAGCCCCCAGCAGAATGAGGGGTGGCTATGATGTGTGCAGCAGCCAATCAGCCTGATCCAAACAGTCTGATGGTAACAGGGCCGGCCAGCCAACTGCCCACAGCCTCTCCTCCAGCTGGTCCAGCCCCCGATCGGCCTCCTCACCCCACCTGGGGGCAGCCAGCCAACTGCCCATTGCCCATACCCAATCCCTGCTCTGCCGCCCATGAACCAGGGTGGCTGGATCCCAACCTTGCATGAATTTGTTCACTAGCCCTCTAGTTCATTAATAAAGACAGATGCTACAAAATGCCAGAGGGAAATAAACATAGAAATAATTGGGAAGGGAAGGAGGAATCAAGGATGACTTCACAGATCAGAAGGATATGATGTGAGAGAGACTAGATAGACCATTGCTGGCTTTGAAGATGGAATGGGGCCAACAGCAAAGGAATGCTGGCAGCAAAGAAATGCAAAGCTGGAAAAGACAGGGAAACAGATTCTATTCTAGTCTCCAGAAGGAACCAACCTTTCTAACACTTTGATGTTATTCCCATAACACTCATTTCAGACTTCTAACTTCCAGAATTGTAATAAATTTTGGTGGTGTAAGCCACAAAATGTGTGTTAATATGTGTACAGTGGCAATAAGAAACTAATATGCTTACTATAAAATAAAAAAAGTGATTGTGATTTTAAAAAAGATGACTTAACAGGAAAAGTGACATTTCAACTTTTCAAATACCTCTAAAATATAAGTGGAAAAATGAGATTTACCAGGTGGATGGCAGAAAGGAGCAGGGAAGGGAATGTGCTTAGGTACATATTCAGAAAGCTCCATAGTACATTTGGGAATCAGATATCTGAGAATGATTTTCTGGAAAATTGTTTATTGAGAAAATATTGTATTCTGGGTGCTGAAGCTAAAATGGTGATAAGAGTCCCTGCCCTTTATAACCTGCAAGATTTAATGGAGCAGACAGACATGTGAGTATGTGAATAGGTTATAGTACAGTAAAAATGACCACAACAGAGACACAGATCAAATAGTGGGGGAGCAAAGGAAGAATTAACAGGGCCACTGGAAAAAATGATCTAGGTCTGGGCTGGGCTTCAGGAGTAATATCAACGAACACAGTACTTATTACTACCGTGTTTCCCCAAAAATAAGACATCCTCCGAAAATAGACCTAGCGCAACTTTGGGAGAAAAAATTAATATAAGACACTGTCTTATTTTCGGGGAAACGGTAGTATATGGCACTCATTGAGTGCTTTACATTTATAATGTGTGATCTTCACAGCGACTGTTAAGTAATATTCTCATTTTGTAGATGAAGAAAATTTGTCAGGATTCAAAATCAAGCAGAGTGGCTCGTCTGTGCTCTTAACCCAATGGCAGAAGAAATAGCTTTACAGAGGCCTAGAGTTGTAAAAAGGCATAGGATGAAAATTCAGGAGTTCCTGAGCCTGAGTTCCCATCAAGAGCCTGAAATGGGCTAAGTAGGGCTAAAGAAGGGAGTGGACTTGAGAGGTGTTTCTTTTTAAAAAATATATATATTTTGCCGAGACCAGTTTGGCTCAATGGATGTAGCGTCGGCTTGGGGACTGAGGGGACCCAGGTTCGATTCCGGTCAGGGGCGTGTGCCTTGGTTGTGGGCATATCCCCGGTGGGGGGTGTGCAGGAGACAGCTGATCGATGGCTCTCTCTCATCGATGTTTCTGGCTTTCTATCTCTCTCCCTTCCTCTCTGTACAAAATCAATAAAATATATATTAAAACAAATAATAATAAAAAATAAAAAAATATATATATTTTATTGATTTTTTACAGAGAGGAAGGGAGAGAGAGAGAGCCAGAAACATCGATCAGCTGCCTCCTGCACATCCCCTACTGGGGATATGCCCACAACCAAGGCACATGCCCTTGACCGGAATCAAACCTGGGATCCTTCAGTCTCCAAGCCGACGCTCTATCCACTGAGCCAAACCGGTCCCGGCGAAAGGAGTGTTTTTAGTTGGCTGTATTACATCTGACTTGTCCCTGGGGCAGGTTATCCTACGTAATAAAAGCCTAATATGCAAATGGATTGAGTGGCGCAATGACCAGTGGAACGACCAGTTGCTATGACATGCACTGGCCACCAGGGGTGGATGCTCAATGCAGGAGCTGCCCACATCCTGCAGGGCCCAGGCCAGCCAAGGCGGGTGCCAGCGGGGAGCCCTCCCAATCACCCCCCGAGTCATCCCACAGATCAGCCCTGATCGCCAGCCAGGCCTGGGGAATTTTGTGAGTCAGGCCTCTAGTCTGAAATAAATGCCTGAAGTGTTCCTATATTTTAAAGCTAGCTTCTAATTTTATTAGGAAATCCTAGGCCAAGACCTGCTTTTCAAGTGTCTTGGATTTGGGGACCATTCAAATGTTTCTTTATATTCACTCTCTATTTTCATTTATTCATGAGTTCTTTTTAAAAAAATATATATATATTTTGCCGAAACCGGTTTGGCTCAATGGATAGAGCATTGGCTTGGGGACTGAAAGGTCCTGGGTTCGATTCCGGTCAAGGGCATGTACCTTGGTTGCGGGCATATCCCCGGTGGGGGGTGTGCAAGAGGCGGCTGATCGATGACTCTCTTCATCGATGTTTCTAACTATCTCTCTCCCTTCCTCTCTGTAAAAAGTCAATAAAATATATTTAATATATATATATATTTACTGATTTTTTTACAGAGAGGAAGAGAGGGATAGACAGTTAGAAACATCGATGAGAGAGAATCATCGATCAGCTGCCTCCTGCACATACTGGGGATGTGTCCACAACTAAGGTACATGCCCTTGACGGAATCAAACCTGGGACCCTTCAGTCCACAGGTTGATGCTCTATCCACTGAGCCAAATTGGTTTCGGCTCATGAGGGTTTTTTTTGTGTTTTTTTTTTTTTTATATATATTTTATTTTTTCACAGAGAGGAAGAGAAAGGGAGAGAATCATCAATGAGAGAATCATCGACCAGCTGCCTTCTGCACACCCCGCAACCAATGTACATGCTCTTGACCAGAATCAAACCTGGGAACCTTCAGTCCACAAGCTGACGCTCTTATCCACTGAGCCAAACCGGTTTCGGCTCATGAGTTATTTTTTGAGGAAAAGGGAGATGTGGTCACGGGAGGATTGTGAGGTGAAGAGAAATATGTTGACAAAAAAATTAATCAGAAATAAGGACAGACAATGAGAAGGGCTAGAGGGGGAAATACAAAGAAATGAGTGAGAAAATCTACTGATTTTTCTCCACTTCCTTTCCTTTTAATCCTCACTTGAGGATATATTTTTATTGATTTCAGAGAGATAGAAATATCGATGTGAGAGAGGAATATTATATCTCACATATGTGCCCCAACCAGGGATTGAACCTGCAACCTATGTATGCACTCTGACTGGGAATCGAACCTGTAACCTTTCGGTGTATGAAACAATGCTCCAACCATCTGAGCCACCCAGCAAGGGCTGATTTTCTTCTAATTGTGGAGAACACATCTCCCCTTCCTGGCCCCTCTAAGCCATATACAGAGCACCTTGCTGTTTTGTTACTATCATTTCTCAAAAATGTATTAACATCTTTTTTTTTTTAATGTATTAACATCTTAAGAGCTGAAATAATACATA